GAGAGGTTGAGGAGAGTGAAGACTGTCTCTGCTCTCCATAATGAGATTTTAATATGACTTTTCCACACAGGTTGATGCATATTGTAAGATATTAACTCTAATTGACTTTTAGCCTGTTTCCAGACCACTGAACTAAATGCAAAATTGCCAATGTGTCTTCACTGTTCTGTTTCAGTAACACATAATTAATGTGCAACACTGTGGGTTAGGGAATATTTCTAGGATGGAAAAAAGGTATAAAAAGTAAATAATCATGTTTTTGTTCTTCTTGAAATGGAAGATTTTTTTTTTCACAAATATTTTTCCATTTCATCAAATATAACAGCTTGTTTTTAAAAATGCTCTTACCACATGCTATCTTTGCCATGAATATAACTTTCTTTTAAGACTAATAAAGGTGTGATGGGCCAGGCTATCATGTCTTTGCACTGTTAAGCTAAGATAAAGACTTGTGAAGCAGGCAAACTTTACCAGTCTTGTTCAACAGACAAGGCGACAGTTACAATTGGCTGGAATCTGGGCTGAGGTTAACCACCAGTTAAACCGCACATCTGATGAGAGCAAACACACTGAGGTCACCAGCTTCTCTGTAAGGGAGCTATTAAATGTAAACGCTCACTAAAAATGTTTCTACATCATACCAATAGTGATACGTTTATGTGAAATGTAAATACCCTATACCCCTGTTACACCATCAGGTCCAGATTTAGGCTTATCTGAGGTCTTTCAGCTGTGAAGGTAAATGTGGAAAACAAATTACCAACCACTGAAACTGGCAGCTCAGTGAACTTGAACACAGTGTCTAGAAAGTTTACCAGTTTAGAAAATCAGCACAAAGCAATCAAACTTTCTTATTAAAGGTCTGAAGCTAGGAACTAGCTATAAAGAAGAGGTTGGAGTTTTGTGAATGAAAGTGGTCCATTGACCTCTTTAGGGTGTAGTCTTTGCTCTATGCCCTGCAGACTGAGATCTGCAGACTAAGGGGTTCCCTCAATATAATTTTTTTTTCCCTCTTTGTTTACCCTCATAATGTCAGGTCTTCTGTTTCTGGTTCTGTGGTCAATGCATGGCGGAGATGCCTGAGGTTGTGTGGCTTCCTTAGTGGGACATTGCCCTGAATATAGGGCAGGGCGTTGTCAGGCTCTGTCTGACTCGAACCTCTGCGCTTTTCTTGCGTAAAACTATTGAAAGGTAAACTGAGTCACACACGGCCTCCTCAAAGTGTGGCAAAGCCTCATAAATCTCTAGTAAACCCCTTCACCCAGTGCATCTCACCGATGATCGGTCCAGTGTGTTGCACAGATAAAAATAAATATTGAAGAAATATTTATTACTTCATGTGATTTAAATGATTTCTTAACAGGTTTCTCTTTGTTTTGTTTGTTGATTTCTGCAAGACCATAGGCACACACTGAATAAGCTGCAACTAAACTCTCCAGTATTTTTTTTTTTTCCTGAGGCTTGCATAAAAGTAAACCCAAAATGCTGACATCAGAGTTTTTGAACCCTGCCAGCTCAACAACACCCTACCTTTTACTCCTTACACGCACACAGGCAGGGATTTTGTTAAGTGTGGTTTGGCTGTGTGAGCTCATTGTTTTGAGATGGAAATGCCAGAGGACTGGGGTCGCACTCAAACATATAGGCATGACCGTCTGCAAATATTGCAAGTTTAAGTTAGAGGACACATTTCTACACAATCTTTGTTTCTTAGTAGAAGAAAATCGTGGCCCTTCCTTAATTTGGTTGTTTTTATTTCCAGATAACTTGGTCGACATTTTTACTAAAACGAATGTGGGCTAAGGGAATTCTTTGAAAAATAGCAGTCTGAAAATATTCTTTTTAATTATCTCCTGAAACAGTTTTATAGTTTTAATATGCAAATAAACAAACGGATCATCAGCTTAAATAAAGGTATTCATATACATATGATTACATGTGTATATGAATACAGAACAATAACTAGGAACATTGACAAGTCTCAAGTCCTCAATTCTCAGCATCCACCTCATAAGTCAGATGAGTCCATGGGTCTGTATTTTAAGAAATATGGCACAGAGATGTGAGGGAATACATCTTTTTACCTGTCATCTGTGTGGTGCTGGTACCATTGGAAGTGATTCTCCATATGTCTCTGTGTTTGCGGATCTCCTGAACTTTACAGCTGTAAAAACCCTGGTCCGACCCAGTCACGCTGAGAATCCGCAACTGGTACACCTCTCCCTCCGTTTTCTCGTGCAGATGAAACTTTGGTTGTGGGAAACGGTAGGTGTAGTTCCCATACAGCTTCCTTCTCCTTAAGCCCATCTTTACAATCAGAAACTGCGGGTGGTCAAGTACGGGAGGAGAGTTGGGTGGAAGGGAAGCAGGAGGCACAGGAGTAGGAGCGGTTAGAGGAGAGAAGAACCAGTGAAGAATCAGGACACTCGTGGTCCTCTTCCTTTGAGATACCAGACAGGACAGTGTCAGGTTGTCGTTCTCTGTTGCCAAGACGACAGGCCCAGGGGTCACTGTCACATTAAGAGCATGGCATACCTCTGTTGACAAAAAAAACCGCAAACGCCTTTGGTTATATATGCACAAATGTATACAGCTTTCATTTTAATTCGATTTTGTACATATATCATTTAGTTTCAATCTACTCAGTATGTTCCTTTTCCAAAATGTCTGCTTCTGTTACTGTGTAATACTTTCCGAGTAAGATATCTAGGTAAATGTGTGTCAGAATAAAATTAAATCAAACCATAAGCCTCACAGAACGCTTATATGACTCAATCCTTCTTTCGAAATTAGTAATAAACGAGTTAAAAGTTTGTCTGCTGTCACAGCTTCAAACAATCACTGGTTCTATTTGTGCATCTTCCCATGATTGTATGTGTATTCACTCTCTTTTAGCAAGGAAGCGTAAAAGCACTGCGAAAGAAACAGCTAAAGTATGACTTTACTTTCTTGGATGTGCTCTTGGTTTAGTCTGCTGTGAGCCAGGGCAGAGACAAAGGGGTCTGGACACAATATGTGTGACCAGACAGGCAAAGAATAGCTACAGGTGGGAAACATTCATCCTCGGTATGGAACAACCCAGAACAGGCAAGGAGAAACATGGAAGGATAACAGGGACCATCTGGTCTTCCATGCTGCTTTTGCTTAATTTTTTCTTTTCTTTTCTTTCTTTCTTTGTTTTTTTTTTTTTTTTTTTTTTTTTTTTTTTTGGTCTTGTTTGTTGGGGAATCTCCCTTAGGCTCTCTGGGGCTTGTCTAACACTATTTAATGTGGCAACAAAAGCAGCTGAAGTACTTCAAACAACATTATGCACAGCTGAAAAAAAAATATAGGACATAAAACACGAGTTGTAAGTCTGCTTCACAGCAGTTTTTAGGACACAAATTATATGTAAAAACTATACTGAGGTTTTCTCTGATCACAGACAACAAACCACCCTAACGCCACAACTGGTTGTTTTTTTTTTCTCTTTTTTTTTGTAAACAACTTTTCTGCACCACACTATTAACACAATAACAAATACACTAGCAAATTGTGATTATTTTAGATATGATGACCTCTAGATGCTAACTGTAGTTGTATGCTTTCTATTATTTCCTTACCAAAGGTCCATAATGCACTGAAACTTTGACGATGGTGTGTGATGACAGCTCAAGTTACAACTCAAACACATATTGCCTCTTTTACGCCTGCTTGCTCACTTTCTCATTGCTGTATGCTGCGGTAAAGAAGGCACACTTACCTGTGACCAGAGCCTTAGTCAGGACAAGGATCACTACAGAGAAGTACATTTTCCACAGTCAGTGAATCCATAAACCCAGACAACTGCACAGCAACTTACACAAGCAGCTACATTCAAAACAGAGCCTGACTGCACAACCCACCAGAGCCCTTACCCACCATTAACTCTTCTCCTCTTTCTCCTCTTTTCTGTGTAATATGAAACAGTAAAGGCTCTGTTCCCACTTAGAAACTCCCACTCTCTCCCAGTACTCTCTGCCTCCCTCTCCCTGTGGCTGTCTCTCTCACTCTTTCTCTTGTGTGTCCTGCAAAACGTAGGAAATGTCATTTCCTGTGTTCTGAGTGTGTCCTGGACCGTGGCCCAAAACCCCCAGAACTCCAAAGTGATGGTCAAGTCTCGTGGTTTGTGTGCACGCGTGTGTGTGACATTGTGTGCAGTTCTAAGAAGCATACACAGTAAACTGCTGAAAATGCATTTCCATCACCTCAGTCACCAGGAATAATGCTCATCTTGCATCTCGGAGTAAAGGCCAAATGCTGATGTTTATTTGTGTGAGGTTCATATTTTTGTGTATGTATGCATGTGTTTATGCATTTATGTTGAGGCACATTTGTCCCCGTGTGTGTGTGTGTGTGTGTCTGTGCTGGGACCTCTCCCAGCTGCTGGACAGAGTGGCATGGGTTTGTCTCTGGCTGTGGTTGTCAGACTGTCCCAGTGGTATGAAGCCTGCTGCTTTATTGGGCAGGCTAAACTGCTGAGGCAGGGCTTCTGCTGGCGCTTTTGAGCTCTGCCAAAGCCAAATGGAATTACACAACAGATTTAACCCTTAGTCGTATGTAGTGTTCTCTTAAGAGGAACTGAGTCTGTGGGAATCTACTGGTTTGTTTGTTTGTTTGTTTGGTTTTTTTTTAAAAAACAGACAGCTGTAATATAAGGTTAAGCCACAGTACAAGTTTTATAAATTGAGGATCATGTGTTAAAATGATACTTCTGATTTTGACTTCTTAACAAAATCTTGTGTTCAGGGTTTCCTTCAGGTTTTTCTCTTCCCAGGTCTTAAGTTCAGGTCTTTGCTCCAGCAGATGAAGCACTCTGCTCTGCCCCACAGTGGTCAAAGCAGGTTACTGCTTCTCAGGGGATCAGCTGTATGGTTATGTTAAACTGGAGAGTATAGGCATGCATTCTCACCACAGCACCGTACATTTAATTGGAGTGTGTGGATCAAGGGAAATAAAAGAAGGCACATTTTCACACTCTCGTGGGTATAATATTAAAAGATTTAAACATTTGGATTGCTTCATACAGTAAAAAGGACACAAAATAAATGCCATCAACAAAGTGTTATTTTCCTTTATCTCTCAGGACATATTACTGCACATTACAATAGCACATTGTAATTGTCTTATGCAATCATAAAAAGACTCTTCATTTTGAATCACTCAGGCCCAGGGTACATTTCAGAAGTCAGAACAAGATGTCATTATATTACATTATATTATGGTTGTAAAATAAAATCAGCCTCTTGCATGAACCTTTTTATCTTTTCCTTTTGGGTTATTTCTAACTTTTACAAAGAGGTTTAAAATACACCGTGATGAGAAATTATTAATCGATTATTATCTGATTCAGCCCATTTCACGCTACTGTTTCACAGCAACCAAACAATTTTTACAAACATTCAGCTATAAAAATAGACTACTGTATGATATTAATTCTTAAAAACAGCAACAGCCACATCACCATTTTTTCACTTCATACATGGCTGAATTAAAAAACTATGCTTCTGAATCTCAAAATCTCCAATTTGTGCTTAAAGGTAAAGCAGGCTTGTCAGTAGCAAAAGTTTTTCCAAACAACTTTTGATATACCGTATGATATATAATAAAATGCAGTTAGGTTGAACAGGCAGTGCTAATGACACTGTTTACACAAGAAGCATAGCTTAGCTTCTCACATTCAAAGTCAAATGGAATGGTGAACTCTGTAAAACAAGTAAATCAACAGCGAATCTCCAAAAGCAGAAACAATATAACAGTTTGCTATAGAGACTTATTAAAACTACAAACCAAAAACATTCTGAGACTATTTTCACTTGAAAAAGTCATTTGCAACCACTTAAAATCATGTATATTATGATCCATTCACTCTTTACTTTATTAAATATTTAATATCAGTTTTTACTCTCACCAATCAGACACCTCCATAAAGTCCTCCAGTTCACTCATAGCTATTATATCACGAGGATTATATTGCGAGTGGGCTGAGTTATCATTTTCACAAACTGAGCTTCCTGCAAGCTGGCTGTTTGTGTCACACTCTGGGAACGACTCATATGAGCCATGTGTGCTGTAAATTGTGTTATATGTTTTGTCTTTGTCATTAACCGTGTCCATGTACGGGGTCTTCTCTGGACTGTAGCGATGCCCTTCAGAGTTTTGTCCCAGTTCAAAAGCCTGATGTCCAGGCTGCTGGTTCTGGTGGAGAGTTGCAGGAACCTGCGACTTGTTGGGATGCAGGGAATTGATACTTGCAGGCTGGTAGTGTTGGGGATAACCGTGGGACCCTTGATAAAGCACAAAGGGTTTGCCAGCAGGAAAAGTCTGGGAGAAGGGCTGTTGCTGGGACTTGATCTGCATCTCAGGCTGTGGGCATGTTTGCTGGGGTTGAGGTTGTGAGATGCTCTTGCCAGACTCGCGCACATTCAGTTGGATATACTTTCCTGTCTGTGGGTCAAAGAAAGTCTTCTTTTTCACTTGAACAGGCAGGTCCACTACAAAATACTGACCAGAACCGGGGTCTTGCAGCACCTTGCGCTGGGTCAGAGGGTAGGCCTGGGGATAGCTTGACTCTACATGATACTGTGTCACTGGAGCTGGGTGGTGGGCTTGGTGGAAAGTGGGAGAAGAGGGAACATGAGCAACAGTCTTAGGAGCAGCAGTATGGGAAGCAGGGCCAGTAGCATAATGAGACACACCAGGGAGGGAAACGGCGGCAGTATGAGGGATAGAAATAGGACCAGTGGCATGAGGGGAAGCGTGGAAAGAGTGGTGTTCTGTATGGGTGGAAGGCAAGCTGGACCCTGACACAGGAGCATTAGCAAGGGAGACAGGTGAGGAAAAATGAGGGGAAGCCATAGCATGGCGATTAGAGGATCGTACCTCAGTGGATGAAGAGGAACGAATAGTGGAGACATCTTTCTCAACTCCAGAAAGGCTGTCTGCGCCAACTTTGGACAACTCTTTCTTCATTCTCCGGGTAGTTAGTCTTTGAGCCCTCCGTAGGGCTTTCTCGCTCTTTGGGGGAACAGCTGGAGGCTTGCCCAAAGAACGGGACACATCACTGCTGAAGCTACATGCTGATTCTGGTCTCTCGTAGTCATAAAGACCTCGTATGTCTGCAAGGTCTGCTGCACTGGTGGCAAAACTTTCCACATCTTCAGACATATTGCTGATAAGAGAGCGTGAGTCATCTTCCTCCATAGCAATGCTTCTCCTGGAATAGGGCCTATAATGAGGGATAGGGGCTGAGTGATCCTGTGGTGAAGATGCTGACTGGAAAGTTGAAGATTCACTGACAGCAGTGAGTCTATTTAAACCTGTGTGATGCTGGACAGGAGTTCCAGCACTGTGTCTTATTTTCTCCTGTCCTTCCTCTCTTTTCTCTAATCCCCTGTCACTGGGTGAACCCACCCGGACATCGTCTCCAAAGCTCTTATAGAATCGTGGCTTAACCGATTTGGTGGAAGCGGAACCTCTGAAGGTGTTGTCCTTTACTCTGAACATTAAGGGCTTGACTCCTAGAGCAGGTGAGGAAGTGTTGGATCGGGGCAGAGATGAAGCTGGAGATGCAGGGGCATGGGGTCTATAAGATCTCGTGTGGGACCCGTGGGACTCAGTTGACTCATTTTCTGATAGATTGTTTCTTTGTTGGGAGGGTGAAGGGGAGCATAGTTGCCTTTCTCTTTGTTTTGTCTCTGATTCTGTTGAAGTAATGGCATAGTACTGGAGAGCATCCACCTGTGCTACTCTTTTTTCCTCTCTCCGATTATCTCTCACCTTCTCACTGTCAGCTGTTACCTTTTCTTCTTCCCTCTTGTTAGCCTTGATGTTATTCTCTCTTTGAGCTAGCATGCCTTCTTTTTCCACTCTCATCTCATTTTTCAGTGCTTCTTGGCTGTTTTCATGAAGTTTAGGTCTCTCGTTGGCTTGCTTTTCTTCCTTTATGATGTTTACTCTTTCTACAGCTCTCATTTCTGCCTCCCCTGTTTGAGTTCTCATCCATTCTTCCTTTTTCTGCCTTTGTCTCTTTTGCTCTTCCATTTGTATCTGTTCAATCCTTTCCTCTTCTGAAATATGCAAAACTTTATCTCCTTCTCTTGGTTTTCTTTTATTGTCTGCCTCAGTATTGGCAAGTATCTTCTCCTCAATCTGTCGTTGTTCCTCAATCAAAGCTGCTTTCCTCTGTTGAATCTCCTGAAATGCTCTCCTTTGTTGCTCTCTTTGAGCTACTCTCATCTGTAGCTCTTCTTCTGCAGCTCTCTGTAGCTTTTCTTGTGTAGTTTTCCTCTGTTGCTCTTCTTGTGCAGCTCTTCTTTTCAGTTCTTCGGCAGCCCTTTGTTTTTCTTGTGCTACTCTCAGTTGCTCTTCATGCACAGCTCTTCTTTGTTGCTCGTCTTGTGCAGCTCTCCTTTGTTGCTCTTCTTGTACAGCTCTTCTCTGTTGCTCTTCTTGTACAGCTCTCCTTTGTTGCTCTTCTTGTGCAGCTCTCCTTTGTTGCTCTTCTTGTGCAGCTCTCCTTTGTTGCTCTTCTTGTGCAGCTCTTCTTTGTTGCTCTTCTTGTACAGCTCTTTTCTGTTGCTCGTCTTGTGCAGCTCTCCTTTGTTGCTCTTCTTGTGCAGCTCTTTTTTGTTGCTCGTCTTGTGCAGCTCTCCTTTGTTGCTCTTCTTGTGCAGCTCTTTTCTGTTGCTTTTCTTGTGCAGCTTTCATTTGTTGCTCTTCTTGTGCAGCTCTTCTTGTAAGGTCTTCAGCAACCCACTGTTTTTCTTCTTGTGCTATTCTTAGTTGCTCTTCATGCACAGCTCTTCTCTGTTGCTCTTCTTGTGCAGCTCTCCTTTGTTGCTCTTCTTGTGCAGCTCTTCTCTGCTGCTCTTCTTGTGCAGCTCTCCTTTGTTGCTCTTCTTGTACAGCTCTTCTCTGTTGCTCGTCTTGTGCAGCTCTCCTTTGTTGCTCTTCTTGTGCAGCTCTCCTTTGTTGCTCTTCTTGTGCAGCTCTCCTTTGTTGCTCTTCTTGTGCAGCTCTTTTCTGTTGCTCGTCTTGTGCAGCTCTCCTTTGTTGCTCTTCTTCTGCAGCTCTTTTCTGTTGCTTTTCTTGTGCAGCTCTCCTTTGTTGCTCTTCTTGTGCAGCTCTTCTTGTAAGGTCTTCAGCAACCCACTGTTTTTCTTCTTGTGCTATTCTTAGTTGCTCTTCATGCACAGCTCTCCTTTGTTGCTCTTCTTGTGCAGCTCTTCTCTTCAGTTCTTCTTCAACCCTCTGTTTTTCTTCTTGTGCTATTGTTTGATGCTCTTCATACACAGCTCTTCTCTGTTGCTCTTCTTGTGCAGCTCTCCTTTGTTGCTCTTCTTGTGCAGCTCTCCTTTGTTGCTCTTCTTGTACAGCTCTCCTTTGATGCGCTTCTTGTGCAGCTCTTCTTTTCAGTTCTTCTGCAGCTCTCTGTTTTTCTTCTTGTGCTCTTCTTAGTTGCTCTTCTTGCACAGCTCTTTTTTGTTGCTCTTCATACACAGCTCTTCTTTGTTGCTCTTCTTGTGCAGCTCTTTTTTGCTGCTCTTCTTGTGCAGCTCTTTTTTGCTGCTCTTCTTGTGCAGCTCTTTTTTGCTGCTCTTCTTGTGCAGCTCTTTTTTGCTGCTCTTCATACACAGCTCTTCTTTGTTGCTCTTCTTGTGCAGCTCTTTCTTTGCTGCTCTTCTTGTGCAGCTCTTTTTTGCTGCTCTTCTTGTGCAGCTTTCCTCTGTTGCTCTTCTTGTGCAGCTCTCTGTTGCTCCTCTATTCTTCTGTTCTTCTTTTCCTCAATTTCTTTCATTCTCACTTTTTCTTCTCTTTGTGCTGCTCTAATATCCTCTTCTTTCTGTTTGAATTTTGTTTCTTCATCTGATCTCTCTGCTTCCCTCTGCTTCTCTCGCCTCTCCTTGATCTTAATAGCTACGGCCTCACGCTCTTTTGCTCTCCTCTCCTCTTCTCTCTGAGTGGCTCTCCTCTCTTCTTCAGCCAGAGAAGCTCTACTCTCATCCAATATATGCTTTATTTTCATGTCTTCTTCTCTTTTTATCTCTTCAGACATGAATGCTTGCTCTTCTTCTAATTGTTTTTTCGTACGCTGCTGCTTTGCTATGATTATTCCATGCTGAGTTTCAAGACTTTCTTCTTTTAGTTTTTCTGTCCTCTCATCGTCAGTCGTAGGCCCCAGGTCTTTATTTTGATGTTTTTCAAATCTCCCATCTTGCATTTGTTGGGTAAAATTTTCTTTCCTGTTGCGCATTTGCTCCATGGTTGGATGTAGAGAGTCGTTAACTACAAAAGATGATGTTGCTGGTTGCAAAGAATGACTATTTGGCTGACAAACGGTTTGATCTTCTTGGTATCCCTTTTGGGAGCCAGCTTCAGATATTTGTATTGTCTGAGTTTTTGGTGAATGGTTCCTTTCTTTGTGTTGGGTATATTTTGCTGCATTGTCTGCCGGGCTTTTCTTCACTTTGGAATCTTGTCTTTCTTTTTCTCCCAGTTTGAACATCCCTGTTCTTTGATGCTCTTTGTCTGTGATGGGAAATACTAGTAGTTTGGGTACTTTATTCACCTTAGCACTCATTTCTGTCTTATCTGGCAAACTTTTCTCTTTTACAGAGTTCTCATGTGGGTCAGTAGTAAACACAGGACGTCTGCTATGACGGGTCTGTATTAGTGGAAAGAATCCTTCCTTTTTGTTGGGTGGGTATTCCTGAAAAGTATTTGCTTCTCTGTCCTCTGAAACAATTACTTTTAACCTTGCATAGTCTGCAATTGCTGATATCTCTGGTGTTGTGGATAGCTTTCCTTTTGGTTTTGTTTTAACTTCAGGTTTTTCTTGAAATGTGCTCTCCCTTGCTGGGAATGAATTTCTTGAACTTTGTCTTTCGGTTGTCGATACAGTGGAGTGGTTCTCAGTTTGTTTTCTAATGTGATTAGCTTGTTCTGCCTTAGCATTTTCATTATTATTCCATCTCTTCCTAGATCTGTCTGTCTGTTTTGATTCTAGCTTATCTTCTGCGTCCCAATTTTTCCTTTTAGCATCTTCATCTTGAACTGTACTTGAATTGGTTGTTTTTCTTTTACTTTGATCCACAGTGAACACAAAGGCTTCAATCTTTCCTTCATTGTGTGTTTCATTGCTGGCAGCTGTTCTGTTTGGTGGTAACCCTGGAAGTCCCCTTCCCTCTGATGCATCTCTATCAGTTTTGCTATTGTACTGTGGCTCATTACTGGTTTCTGTTATCCCTTGTACTTGAAAGTAGTCTCCATTTGCTTGTTGTTCACTTGATTCACCCACCAGTTCCTCACATTTCTTTACTTTTTCAAGCTCTTCATTCTCAGATTGAGTATTCTCGCTTGTTGCATTGTTGCTATTCTGTTGATTGCTAAATTTCAGCGAATCAGACAGTTTTCTAACACTGGACAGCACATGTGTGTCATCAGAACTAGATCTCTCAGTGCATGCTTGTTCTTCTGTGCTTAAAGTGATAACTTTTTCTTGGCAACTAGATGATGTAACTTCTTTCTCTTTATTACCTTGCACTCGATCAAATGGCAAAGTTGCACCATCTTCTTTTCCAACTATCGCCATGTTATCCGTCTCAGTTACTGATGGTACAACTCTGATGGCGATGCTGTCAATGTGCACGTTATCGTTCTCTTTTTTATTATCCCTGATTTGGTTGTTATTATATTGAAATTTGTGTGATCCATGTGTGTTTTCATTTTTGAATAACTTGTTGGAAGGACTGGTGTTTAACATTTTTGGAACTATAGAGTCATGTTTGTTTTCCTCAAGTAGCGGTGCTGTTTTGCCATCTACATTGCTGATGCTGGCCTGATTGTCCACATTTGTCATATCTTCTTTCAGAACTTGCTTAGCGACCTGCTTTATCAGCATTTCAGCATCATTCATGTTGTTGATTCCAGTGTTCACTGTTGTGACAGCTAAGTTCTCATTGCTATGAGCTGTTTGCACTTTTTGTGGATTTTTCTCTTCATCTGTCCTCTCTCTTAGCATTTTATCTGTGTTGTCATCCTTTCCTTGTCTTGCTTTTATGTCCTCTTTGTGGTGAAGGGGTTGAGTTTCACCTGGCACTGTATTTTTAGCGGGTACAGTGATGGTACCTTTTTTGGTCAAGGTTTCTGGCTGTGTTTCCCCCTGAGGTTTTGTATTCATAGTAGAACCATCCTGCTGTGGATGTGTCCTTTCCTGACACATCTTCATATTGTTCTTTACTGCTTCTGAGAGTGGTGTTTCTTGCACATTTTCAGGATGACTTTCTCTAACAAATTTAGCCTGATCTTCTGTTTCCTGCGTGTTATTTTTCTTTATGACCTCATTTGAAGATGTGTTTCTTTCAGTTAATTCTAGACATGAGTTGGGAGAACACTTATCCAGTTCTGAACTGTTGTTCTCTTTCTCTGTTACATTCAGATGGTTTTGAGCATTGTTATTCCCTTGACCAGTGTTCACAGTTGGCTTTCTTTCGTGTACAGTTACCATTATTCCCATAATCTGCAAGCTATGATCAGCTGCAGGTTCTTTTTTCTGACCAAAGACAATGTTTAGTGAAGGTGCTAAGTCTACATAAGCTTCTTCTTTACTTTCAGCCTTTTCTGTCATCACAGGTTTGGAGCTTGCAGCATTGACACAGGTGGTGTCTGCAGGATCTTCTTCCTTTTTGTTGGGAATGTCAGCTTTTATATCTGAAGAGTCTTTGCCTCCATCTTTTGGTTTTCCAGATATTTCTGCATAAACTGCTTTCTGTTCTTCTTGGTTGATCGTGAGTGGCTGCTCTTTATTTTGCATTGGTTTGGACTCCAGCTTTTGATTTTGTAGCAAGCATTCAGTTGTGCTCATGATATTATGAGTGGTGGTTGCTGCAGATTTAACTGGTATAGTAGCAGAGCTTGAAGGTGAAACAGACTTGACACGGTCCATCTGTACTCCTAAAGATCCCATCTGAGGTTTCAGTGTTGCATTACTGGGCATTATACTTTCATGCTTTTTAGACGCCTCCTGCGATGGCGGCCTCTGTCGTATCTTAACTGTCTGACTACCAGCTAATTGCTTGGAAGAATTTTTGGATATGAATCCATCTCGTATAGCACAGCCCTTTTCTTTAATTGCTGAAATTTCCTTTTCAGCATGAGCTTTTATCTTGGAAGTCAGAATCTCTTGCTTGGTCATGGCTCTTTCTTTATGAGACAGTGATTTGGGAGGCATAAAATGCTGATCTTTACTTGGGCCTACATTGTGCTCAGCTGACTTAGGTTTCCTTTCATGGGGTAGCAGTTTCACCCAATCAGAATCTCTTTGCTGTGAAACCTCAGTGTCTTTCACAGGGGTGCATTTTTCCAATTTTTCAACACTGTTGTCCTTCATGTTATCGCTAACAGTGTCAAAATTTGCTCTGTTATTTACATTAGTTACAGAATAATTGGCACTGGGTAATTTGGATTCTTTGGCTGACACATTGTAAACAGGCTGACTTTCAGAGACTTCACTGGATTTAAAGCCACCTACTTCCTCTATATTTTTTTGGTTAGCTGTGATAAATCTGCTTGTAGGACTGTGTTCTTCTGTTGATTTCTCCTTATTTACTTTCTCAACTTTATTAGGAGGTAAAACTTGCTTTTCATAAGGACCATTTAATAAGACATTCCCTGTCACTGATGAATTGTTTTTGTCTGTTGAAATTCTGTTAGTACAGCCATATTTCTCTCTCAGATGTTCATAATCATCACTGCCTCTGCTGGATTGATCATTGTCTTTTCTGATAACTGTTTCTTCCTGGTGACGCTTTTGAACTTCCTTATCTTTCTTTAAGTCATTCTCTTTTTCATTTATATTTAACTTTAAAGGAACATCGTTCTTTGAAGTGCCATCCTCTTTTATGATGATGGCATGTCTGCCTTTCTCTTTTTGCTCACATCTCATTTTCTCTTTTATTTTGGCTAACTCTGCTTTAGCTTTAGCTAGCTCGGTCTTGACTTGCTTGACTTTATCTGGCTCACTTTTGACCAGTTGTGCAGCCGTTAGTTTAGCTGTGAGTTTAGCTGACATTTCCTGCATGCTTTCTGCTTTTATAAGCTCTGCTTTAGCTCGCTCCTGCTTTGCCCATTCTGCTTTTCCAACTTCAGGTTTAGCATCTTGCGTTGTGCTTGTTCCTGTTGTAGACTGCTCTATATTCACATGAACTGAAGCTTTTACTTCCTTTGCTTTTCGGAAACTCCCAGCTTTAATGTGGTCTGTTTGGATCTTCTCCACTTCAGCTACATTTGTCTTCACTTCTTTTGCTTCAGTTTGCTGCTCTTTTGCATGCTCTGTTTTTTCCGCCCCGGCCGTTTTTACATTAACCTTTTCTGTTCCAGATTGTTCTGTTTCTGTCTGCTCTTTCTTAACTTGTTCAGTGGTTACCTCCATTTGCTGGACTTGTGCTACATTGATCCAATTTTCTGTGGCCTGTTCAGTTTTAGCTTCCTCTATTCTCGTCTGCCAAGCCTGCTCGGTTTTTGCCAGTTCAGTTTTTATGTGCTCTTCTTTTAGCTTCTCTGTTTCAGCTCGTTCCGCTTTGACCTGCTTACCCTGCTCCTTTTTAATGTGCTCAGCTCTTGCTTCCTCTGTGATATTTCTTGGCTCATCTCTTACCTCGTGTACTCTGGTTTGTTCAGCCTTTGTCTGCTCCTCTCTGGCAAGCTCTGGTTGTTTTTTTCTGAACTGTCTTGTTTGTTCTCCTTTTATCTTCTCCTCTTTATTTTCTTTAATATGTTCTGCTTGGGGTTGTTTCCCTCTCTCCTCCTTTATTAGTCCTGATTTGACCCGCTCTGCTGCGTCTTTCTGCGAATCATTCTGCCCTGCTAAAATTAACTTAGAGGGTTCTGCTTTAGGCTGCTCCACTTGAGCCCCCTGCTGAACTTTTGCCACCTCTGCCTGGGTGTGGTGGGATTTTATATGTTCTGCCATGACCTGTTTAGCCTTGACCTCAGCAAACTGTCTCTCCGTCATCTGCTCTGCTATTTGGGGGGCAGATGTTTTGTCTGGGTTAAATGAATTAATGTGTATATTATGTTCAGACTGTGGTTTCACTTCTGAAGGCTGAAGACTCTGGACCTCGTGTCCCCTTGGAATTTGCATATATTGTTTTCTTTGACTTGTTTCACCCATGCCTATATGTTTGTCTTTAGCTGAAGAAAACATCTGATGGCTTATACATTCATTGTCATTATATTTGTTATAATCCTGTTTAAAATAATGATCTTTCAAATCAGTCTTCTCATTACATCCAGAATGTGTTTGAAGCACTCTTTTGTCCTGGTGACTTTCTTGCCTTGTCTTTTCCATTAAAGTAGCTGTTTCTTGTTTCCATGGAGAGATAGTTGCATTCATGCTGAGCTTTTCTGTATCTTGGCTGTTTGTCTGCCTCCACTTATCCTGTAAGGAGACATTACTGTAATCATGTTTGTTGTGTTTGAGCTGCTCACATTTCTCCACCTTTGTGAATAGCCTTCCCACTGTTTCATTAAAAGGTTGTTCAATGTTTGGCTTGCTTATTAAATATTCTCCACTTTGATTGTTGTCAGCATTTAGCCTTGGTGTTTCTGTAGCTGAATAAGGTGTTTTATGTGTGTATAAAGCCGCTCCCAACGTTCCTACATCAGCCATAGTATCCTGCCTATAGGGAGCAAATGATGCTAAATCTTCATGGAGATTCTGTCCATTAGCCAGCTTATTGCCGGTGTAGTTTTCAGGTAAAAATCCAGTAAACCCAGAGTGATGAACCATCTGGGCTTGCATCTGAGCTCTCTGGTAATCGCTTAAAGAGTATTCTGCATATTGGCCTGTAGTTGCCATTACAGGTTGAGAATTTGACATTGTAAGTGACAGTTCTGGGATGCGATACTGGTTCATAGCAGCATTTGTCCTGCTGGATTCTTGTAGCTGTGAAAATTGAATTTCTGAATCTGGAAATTCAGGGATATCTATCACAGTATCTCTAGACTCGTGCGTTGGTGGCTGTTTGTTGTTCTCAGACGCCTCCGCTGCTTTAAATTTGGTAGGACTGTAGGTGCTTTTTACTCGTTTTCTGTTGTCTTTGAGATTGAAGAGCAGACTCGTGGCTCTGGATTTGTAGGTGGACATCCTAATGTCGGGAGTCACACCCCTGCTTTCAGCTCGTACTGGAGAATGCTCTACAGGTTGAGGAGAAGTTGCATAATGTTGGAGATCAGAAGAAACAGCTTCTTGATGTGCATGGACCAGAGGTGTCAGCAGCTGGCTGATGTTAAATGGCGTGGTGCTTGTGTTACTGCCAATAGCGTTAGGTGCCACTGTTACTGCATTATTGCCAAGACTTACATTTTCTTTTCTGTAAAGTACTGTTTGTTGGTTTTCTGTCACTTCCGTAGTAATATTTTGCTCTGCCATCATTTTGATTTTCTGCTGGAGGGCTTTGACAGAGCTGATGGTGTCCCTCACACGTCGAGACATCTCAATGGTGGGTGATGCAGTCGATGGGCGATGGGACGGAAGCCTGTTGGTTCCCACACTCTGGCTTCTTTTTCTGTACGGGTAATTACCTGCCAACTCTGACTCACAGCGTTTCTCCACAGCTGAAGCGTTCTGTAGCACTGTAGATGTCGAGGTGGAACGTGGAAGAGATGGTGAAATCATGGGTGCCAAGTTACTCCTTGGCCGTCTGATACCTGTATAATGACCCTGTGGTTGACCCATCTGTGAAGGCTCCTTGTACATAGGTGTCTCATACCATTTAGCGAACTCGGAACGGTGCATAAAGCCTGAGATTTGTCCTTGCTGGAAGGGAAACCTGTTATGGTCCCTCCACACCTTGAAGGGACTAAACTCGCTGTGTATAAAGACATTAGAGTTGCAGTTGACCTGTGTGCACATGCTCTGTTTATTGTGTGAAGATCTCATAAAAGAAGATGCAGAACTGTGAGACACTGCTGCTACATCAGATCCAAAGGAGTGGAGGTTGTTGTCTCCATATGAGAATGAACCAGAAGAGGGGAAATGACTGCTGTGAAAATTTTGCTGGTATGATGTAGAGAATTCAGAAAGTTCCCTCTGGATACTCATTAGAGCTGATTTGTCCCAGCTCGTCTCATCTTTCCACTCTCTGATTTTGTCATCCATTCCTACTCCATCCCTGTTTCGCTCAGAATTAAATGCTCTGATGAGAGAGGAAACTCTGGAGTTGCTTTTGCGTTGCTGTGAACTCAACTCTGTGGCTCCATTGCTGAGAAAGTTGAGCCGTTCCTCCTTTAAAGATGTTTCCTTTTGAGAGGTTTCCACAACGGAGTGCTGGAATGTGGCAGAAATCCTCCCCTGTGTCCTTTCTCCATGAACCTCCCATTGTGGATCTCTGTGAATCTCACCTCCATACATTCTTCCATGGCTCCAGTCCTGTCCATACTGCTGCACCTTGAGGCTGAAGTTCTCACGTGCAGCTCTCTTAAGTTCTTCCCTTTCTCTGTCCTCTCCATCCTCTCTGTCCTGTCCGCTCTGGCTAAAGGCCAGCTGTCTGTCTCTCTGAGTGCAGGGTGAAGACAGACTTAGGTCTGAGTCATTATAAACAGCTTCATCGCCGATACAGAGACTCCTGAATGCCCTGTCTGTCAGACTGCAGACCTCACGGTCATTCTCATCCAAGAAGGACCCACCGCTGGAGGTGTCGCTGTAGCCTCCATCGCTGTGCCTTCGATGCCCGCCACTCTTTCGGCCAGAGCGGCGCTTCTCAACGGAGGTCATGATGCAGAATTGCAAACAAAAATGTCTGCCTTCAGTTGTTCAAACATTCATGCAAACATAGACCTCAAAATTACACACTCTGCCTGCTGCTGGAGCTGCTGCACCCAGAATTTAGGGCCCTGGGTCAGGATTTTGTAAAGCCAGTAGCTCCTACGGCATCATGCCATTTAGCTGGCCTGTCTCCAAAACAATCCCAGAGTTTGTTGTTTTCCTAGAAGAAAAAGGAAATGGGAAATAGGCTAGGATGAGTGCTGTAATCCATCACTGTATAAAACACAGTTTCATAACACTATTTTGCTCAATTTATTGCAAACTTATCCAAAGACTAAAATATATACAATATTCCCTCCTATGTCATTTGTTGTGGTGCTTAAGTTTTTGGTTGCTGGTCTTGATACGTTTAAATTTTCTTTTGCATTAAGCCACAATGTACTGTATGTGGTTCTGAAAACAGCGCTGTAAATCCTTCCACTCAATCACCGTGACCTTCAGAGATCAGAGACATGTTGTGAATAAAACTACACTGTTGCTAGGGGCGGCGAAGACAGCCTCACGTGAGTTATTTAGGGTAATCAAGATGCATCTGTACAAATTTAGATGGGCACGCATGCACCACAAATTGACTTCGCAGTGCAAGACAGAAACTGAGTAATCAGAGCTTGAAATGAGCACATAATGTCACATTTTCAAGTCACTAATGCTGCTGATCTTCAATCAGCCTGTTTCCTGTCTAGTCAAAGAGGGAAAACATCTTATTAGGACTTGTCAAGTGTGACACTGAAACTTTTTTTTCTTTACATAGGGGGTGAAAATTAGATTATAATATCCTTAAGCATAGCTCTTACTATTCTGGGATTTTACATGTATAAATTACCTAATCTACTGCCAGTAAAGTGCATAATCTGTTATCGATTTTTTCAAACAAACTATATGTCATTTAGACTCCTTTAAATTATCATTAATTACAAAGAATGTTCTTCTTTCATAAATAAACATGCAAAGCCTTAATCTAAATGAAACTCAAAACATCCAAGGCCACATGTAAGATCTAAGTAGTAGAACAGCTGACACAGAAGCTTTACTTTTCCTATTATTTACACTCATGAACTTCTTGTGGTGGGCTTCAAAATTCACTAAACTGAATTAGAAAATATATCCACAATTCTACAAATCACAAACCCTGGGTTATATATTAAAATATAGTTTAACATATCTGCAATAATGTAGTTTGTTTCTTCCCGGCTGCAGGATATAGGTGAGGTATCACATTCTTCTTCTGTTGTACTGTAAATGGGTAATATCATGGGTATATTTTGGTTAAATACTATGCAGCTGCCAAGCAGCCATCACCTTGCTCAGAGTACTCAGTGGTTCATTAATATCTTTTGACCTGGAGGCTATCCATCTGATACACATCTATAACACAGTTACTCACCACACTGCTGTACTGACCGACTACATCAGCATCTAATAAGAGCGACGCAGAAATAAAAAGAAGTTTAAAACTATAATGCAACACGTTTCTCTATTAAGCAAAAAAAACAAAAACGCAGTAGCTTGAACAAGGCCACATGTTCCATGTCTTTGCATTGTCCCAGTACACTCACAGCAAGTATCTTCTTTCAGTGTATTAAAAGAAACATTGAGAAAACGATCAAAGCAATTAAAACATTTTAGATTTTTGTTTTCATCCCAGTCTGTCTTGACTCAAACAAAACATTTGGTATATAGAGAGAGACTTCTTAAAAAAGAAGCATTAAAGACGTGCACAATTTTGATAGCCATCCCTCATTCAGCTGCATTTTTTTTTTTTTTTTTTTTTTTGCAGTGGTGTCTTGTAAAACTGCCAGCTTGATTTCAGCCCATTCTTGCATGTGACAGGTTTATTTTTGTGCAGTGACGGGTCTCCAGCTTAAACCTGACACCAAAGATGACTCGTTTTCAGATGGGACTCCAATCCAGTCCAAAGGAAGACTGAACAGGAATGTCTCTGTACCTTCTCAAAGGATAACAGTAAATGTTTGCTGATGTCAGCAAGTTTCAGTGGAACAAAACCAAATTCTATAAGTGCAGCTAAACACTGCACAGTAGCTTCAGTAAGTCAATTTGTATTACCTTTTTACAAATGGGATCAGAGATTTTCTTATCTCTTACCTTTCTTATCTGTGTGAAAATCATTGAAATTCCAAGCTTAAGAGTAATGTTATGTACATCTGTTATGGTCATGTTTTTTGGGGGCATTTTTCATGTATTTCTTTCAAATATGAACAAGAATGCACACTGAGATTCTTGTCTTACCTTTGAGTTTTATATTCCATAATTTGCGCCTTGTTGTAAACTCCTCAAAAGTGTTTCATCTCTTTAAAAAAGCCTTTGACGCTGATCTGAGCTGTCCCCTCTCACAGCTTCAGCTCTCAGAAATCCAAAAAACCCCTCTATGTAGTCCACTGTCAGGTCTCTGAGCCGCTAGCAGGACTCGGGGCTGGAGACTAGACAGAAATAGAGGAGTTGTCCCAGGGAGAGTGTCCACCATGGGGGACCAGAATGAGGACTCGGGCTAGCATGTGGGTCTGTGAAATCCTTTGGTGTCGAGTGTCAGATGGATGAAACAAACAGCCTCTCAACTATTTATAAATCTGGACAGCTACTATTGGCCATTAGCAGCCAGAGCTAACTGTCAGTAAACTGGAAACGTATTGCAAGTTTGTGAGGAGGTTGCAAGATCTAAACCAGGAGAAAACACTAATTTCCTGAGGATGTGCTATGGTGCTGAGTGTTTGGGAGGGTGTATGGAGGGGCTGTAGCTTGGGTGCCCTTCTGGGAGACAGAAATAACTTGATTGTGTTGCACTCAAGTGCCACCTTCTTTGTTGAACAGAACTGACAAGCACTATATTGAGTGTCAACAAGTGGCCTCCGGCCACTTTGCTTGAATGAAGCTTCATGTTGGAGACCAAAATGAGGGAATTTATTTTTCTATCATTGTTGGGCTTTCCCCCCCCCATCTATTTCCTTTTATTTTTTGTTTGACACATCATGTCTGAGAGGTTAATTTTAACCTGAATTTTCACTTTATTACAGTACTCAAACCATGGCCCGTCTAATCTCCCTGACTACAGCCTCACTCAACCCCCAGCAGAAAAGGCCATAAGGCAAAGGAAGGGGAGGAACTGTACCTCCCCCTTTCACCCCCATAGCTCCTTCCCCTCCTACAGCATGCTGCTATAATAGGAGATTGCTGCAGCAGATAGTTTCCTGGGATTCTTGGCGGGTGCAGGGCTGGCCTGACAGGATGATGGACACACACACATGGGCCTTAATGGAGACGCACTCCTCCGCACATGCCCACACACATACACAGATGGTTTTACGTAGAGCTCACTAAACTTTAGGAAAGGCTGATGTAATCCCTTTTTAACTAATCTCTTTCCGCCCTTCTAAACAGACTCCACCCACACGCCCTTCTCATGCTCTATTTTCCTCTCCACCCTGAAACCAAGTCAGTCGCTGACAATCAGCTGTATGTTCCACTCATATCAATAACAGATGCAAGTTGCTGTCATAAAATCTTGTTTTGCTATTTACTTTTGGGCCTTTAATCTACGAGTACGGTCTTTTAAAAAATTGTTTTGATTGATAAACTGTCATTTGTAACATGCCTCAGTAAGAATAATCTGTATGTCATAAACCAAAAGGCTCAATTTCCCCACTTAGGTTAGACATGATGCCACTCACATCAGTTTCCTGCTCACTAAGTCCCTCTAGTGGGCAAATTTAGATTACAAAACACCCAGTTTTTACAGTTCTGTGCAGAAATGTGGACTTTTGATACAAACCTCTCAAGTTTTTGTACAATGCAGCTCTCCAGCTTTGCTTCAGAATAGCTTTATTGAGAAGCTGCCGGGGACTGTGAGCATTGATCACAAACGCTGAGGATGCTTTTCCTTCTGCTGAGTAAGGGGGAGCAGAGCTGTGGTTATGTGGCAAACAGCAGACAGGCACATTACTCGCTGCATTAAGATATGCTTTGTTTGTATAATCTCCATCCAGAAATGAGCCTAATTGATTCTAATTGATTGGGTTATTGGTCAGCTCCGCTGCAGGAATTAAAAGCAGAGACGATACTTTAGCAGGTTGTTTTGGCCCTTCACTGGACATAGGCCTGAATTCACTTTATGTCTGACTTTGGGAGCTAGGTATGTAAATAGTAAAAATTTAGTGTTGCACCTAATGTCAAGCAAAAGGAGCTGCATGTATGGATGACTCTTTCTTGAGTGTACGGCCTCTTTCTGTCTTATATTGTCTGCGTGCGTCTGTGGATGGGTGCATGTGCGCAGCGTCTCCCTGTTTCAGGACATTTTTTTCCCCACATCCCTGCAAAAATATTTCATTACTGCAACAAAAGAAGCCCATTAACTGCACTGTAAGAACAGAGTTCAACTGCTGTCCCCCGTATTCACCATGTTTGTCTGCTTTTCTGGCCACTCTCCAGCTAATTTGATATAACAATGCTCCACAAAACCGCCTCAGGACTTTTTTTAGGTGACAGAAAATTATCAATGATGCCACATGCACAGCTGAATGTCAACACCAACTTGACTTGTTTATGAAATATTAAAGCAGTGAATTATGGGCACCATGCAGAACTTAATGATGATCGGAGTCATTATAACTTCAGCATCCTTTGTTTTGGCTAATGATTAAATTCCACAACTGCTGTATTCAATTTTGGAGAGACTGAATGTGTTTTTCTGTGTCTTTTGTATGAGTTGGCCGGATTACGTCGTCCATACTGGTACATTCTGGAGAAGAAGCTGGTTTGTATAAGGATATTGTGTTATCATTAGCCGCCATGTCACTGGGCTCAACATATTTGCTCTGGAGCTCTCTCATGCACTTAAAGATAAAGCATTATATGAAGGCGCAATGTTTTTGGTAATAATATTTGGGCCATTTTTAGATCCAGGAGAGCAGTCGCTACATAATGCAATATTTCTATACCTGCAGTGTTTTATGATATCAAATATGTAAAATTAAAAAAAGGGCCTCCAGTTGAAACTTTTGTCTAAATTTGGGGATTTTCTCTGAAAATGTAACACGAATGTTGCATGGGTTCATAGAAATTAAAAATCCTACCAAAAAGTCTTAAAGTCACAATCAGTAAAAGATTCACTTTATTGGTATAGTTTTCAGATATTTACAACATGCACACATAATGGTGTGAAAAAAAAGAAGAAAAAGATGATCTGTGTACAACCTGGCACGACTTCTGACATTATCTCCCTCTCCTGTGTCACCAGGGTGTCGCCTCATCAATTATTGAACCACTACTTCATGGTAATACATAATTTCTTATCAATTATTCATGATAATGTGTGTGTAGTTTACTTAATTGTGTTATTGACTATCAAAAGTAATTTCCTGAAAATCCTCAAGGACGCAAATTGAATCAGCAACTACTGGTTGTGTGCACTGCGGTTAAGTATTCTCAGTCTGATCAGTCGATCTTATAGTCAAGAGTCATTCTAGTGAGGGGAGATATTTAAGAATAATGAATCAACAAATATATTGCCCGTGATAAACTACGTTGTGAAGAGCCCTGAGGTGATGACAGATGATATTTTTTCAAATGTAAATCCAACATTAACAAATAGCATATATCATCTTTAATGGGGTTTATTAAAAATAAAAATAAAAAAAAGGCTCGCAGAGAGGAGGGGTGAGCGCAAGCGTTCCTAAAAGTAAATAAATAATAAGAGTCACGAATGCTCTCCTCTCCCAGCTTTAAAGGAAGCTGATAAATAATGTATTAGAACAGATGGCTGGAGCGAGAGGCAACAGGAGAGGAACATGAGCGAGTACATCTTTAATTGTTTTAAAGAACATGTCACAACAGGACTGGTGTGTTCCCTGTCTGCTGGCACTACAGATGTGCTAACAGAGTGGAAGGGACAACTGCCGCTCTCTCGCTGAGTCTGCTTTAGCCTGCCTGGGGTTCACACATAGTCTAGCACATGTACACATTTACACTTAAAATGCCTGATTAATATTAAAGTGCACTTTCACTTTTAAACTCAAAAGAATGAGAGGCGATTGCTTGACCTGATGCCATAAACAATATATTGCCCAAAATCCTGCAAAACTCTTCACTGTCCTGCCAGCCATTTGCACACTTACAGTTTACATGCATTAATGTTTACAAGGTAACCACCAGACCTCCTAATGAAAATGAGAGGAACAACATCAGGATTATTTAAATTCACATTATCAAATATGTCTTTGTCGCACACATATTGTATCTATGTAAGTCCATCGAAAGAGTCCAAGAGCGCATGAAGACAGATAATAGATCCAAAAACCACAGTTGTGCTTTTATGAGGGAACGAGGCCCCAGTTACTGAGCATTTCTCACAATCATAACTTACTGTCAAATAAATAGTTAAATGTTTTCATCCACACAGTGTGATATGAGAAAAGTCCGTCCCAGGCTGTTTCTGGAGTCAGTCATTTGTGCTTAGTTTCTCATACAGCCAGGGTCGAGTAGTTACAGCAGGCACAGTCACACAGATTTAGAGTATCGGTACATCCACGTTTGTGTCCAGCGCCTTCACTTTTTCTCCAGTGGTTCCTTAGGGCAGTGAGGGTGCTTGTCAGGACTGCTGCCCAGGACTGGGACCTTGGAGGCCAAGGTGGGACTGGAGCTATCTCCCCCTCTTCCGACAGCGCCTGACACCTCAATGGGAGGACCCACCGAGGGTCTTACCACCCCAGCTGCGCTCACGCCGACTCCTGACAGGACTCCCACGCTGGCACCTGGTCCGGTTGCTGCACCAAGCAGGTTAGCAGACTGCAGCACTGCCTCAGAGTGCTCACGGGCCTTCATGCGCAGGGCGGCCACACTGGCTGTGCGGTTACCCTGACAACCATAGGGTGGCAGGAAGGACAAGCCCATGGGGTCCGAAACGCAGCACGAGCACAAGCCATTACCTGAAAAATGAGAATCAGTGGAATTTGTGATAAGACAACTTAAAAAATAGATCTTCATCATCTTTATTACCATCTTTATTCATCAGTTAACAAAAATCATATTTACCTTTCAGAGTGGCGACCTGCGAGAGAGCCTGGGCATAGGTGGCAGAGTTAAGGAGGGTGCCTGGTAAGCAGGATGGAAAGAAGGGACCACCAGGACCCACTGTCCTGTTGATACTGGAGAGAGAACAAATACTTAATTAAGTATTAGGAATTACTTAGTACTTAAATATCCAGGTATAACTTTAAGCAGACAATTTATTCTAGTAATATATATCTAGAAATATCTACAGCTATTTCCAAAATACACTAATGAATTAGAATTATTGACTAACGATATGGAGCTTTCTCCAGAAGTTAATGTTGGCTATCAGAGTTTTGAAGAAAAAAAAAAATTCTAGTCTGGCCGACAGTGCTTCACAAATTTCCCCTTTAACAGGACGCTGTTTCACTAAGATAACTGTGACGACGGTCGTCTGTCTGTCTCTTCTCACCTTGGCTGCATCTCCAGTGGTTCTTTCTGTTTTCTGCCCTGGTCCACTGGGGACTGAGAGTTGATGCTGCGAGATGGAGGAGTTCCCTCACTCATCTGCTCTTTCCCTCCTTCAGGGTCCGAGCTCCCTCGCTCTGTCTTCCTCCACTTTGCTCTGCGGTTCTGAAACCAAACCTGCATTTGACAAAAAAAATAATATTAATTAAAAATGTGAAAAAATAAAAAAGTACAACAAATTAATTAAACCATAAATTAAAACTAGAATTCTAAAATGGGCCTAATGACACATCAATAATTTCAGTTTAATTCCTTGGATTTAGGCTTGTAATCTAACTTGCGTAATATTGAGAGAAATTGAAACTACATTAAATATATATATTCCCAATTTTTGAAATCTTGTTAACAGTAAAGTTAAAAGAAATATTCCCTACTTCCTTTGTTCTGTGACCTCTCTTATCAAGTGGCATTTGAACCTGTCAAAGCAATGCTCTGATTTCCCACAGTCCCTGACTTAGCCCCAAAACCTTCAGCATCCACAGAGCTGAGAGCACATATAGCCAAGTTCTGGTATCTTAATCGAATGAAGGTCAGTGCCTATAACAACATTTAATTGAGCAATTTTTCATTATCATATTTTAATGACTTCCCACTGACAGTTGTGCTGCCCAAGAGAGAGGCGGCAATGATGAAGTCGTTTATTTCCCTATTTAGTGATTGTTTGACAACATCAGATTCGATTAGGACTTGGTTCTAGCAGGCATTAATCATGATGTGTGAATGGAGGTTAGAGTCGGTGTGCATGTGCTCTGCATCCCTGCTATTGTACCGGGGGTATAAATGATGTCAACAGCCAAACAAAACACATGCATTCATTCGGCATAAAGAAAGGACAACATTTTGGTGGCAGGACAACAATACAGCCGATGGACTTATCTCACCCCTGCACCTTCCAGCTAGAAGTCGCGCCCCCCCACACACACCCATCTCTGAATGGGCTATAATTGCTCCATTAATCTCAATTTGCGGCGTGCTCTTAATGCGGGGGAGGCCCATTGACACTTTACACACAAAAAAGAGGGGGGGCAACAACACTACAACAGAAAGGAAATTTATTTTCTAATAATAATGTAAGTTTAATATCCCTGCATACTGCGGTGGATTCATGTTCAGATTTAATAATAGGAATGTGGTAATCGGATTAGGAGGGGAATAATTTGTTTACAATCCCTAATTTACAGCGCTGGATTCCATTATCAACCCAGCCATTGGGTTTAAGCGATAGTAAGATGACCCTGGGGAACAAAAGGCAAACTATTATATTTCCCACAATTAGATCTGCGCGCACAACAAAACCCAAAAGCAAATCTGGAATGCAGGAAATTACATACAGGACACATAACTTAATTACATCTGGCCAAGTTTATAACCGCGCATATGTGCAGGGCAGGAGCGGAATATAAATTGGCACATTTAAGGTGCATGCTTGCCCATTTTTTCTTTTATGTACGCGCGCGTGTGTGATAGGATCAGGGAGATAGGAAAGGGGAGTTGTGGAGGCTACGGACTTTGCCCTCTTTTAAAACACGTTTTTTTTCTCTCTCTTTTCTGGCTGTGTCACGAGAACGAGATCTGCGCGGATGATGTATTCCTACCTCAGAGACGCGGACAAATTAGTGAAGAACATTATCGCTGGTTAATTATGAATGACCGATTAATCAAGCTAATCTAATATTCACCATTATGTTGATGTTATTAAAGTGCATAGCCGGAATGACAGAGTGCCTTAATTTACCCTCTCTTGCATGGTCAAACGTGCCCAGGACACACCACTGCTGCAGCCATACCTGCACCCTGGCCTCGGTCAGGTTGATCTTCATTGCCAGCTCCTCCCGCGTGAACACGTCCGGGTAGTGGGTCTGGGCGAAAACAGCCTCCAAAGCCTCCAACTGCACATTGGCAAAAAACAGAGGGCAGACTTTTAATTATTAAAATGATTTGCCAGTTGATTTGAATATAAGCAGACTATTCTCTTTCTTTCTTTCTTTCTTTTTGTAAAGAGACATAGTGAATAACGCTAAATAAAGATGTCAAAGATTAGCCTGTAATTGTAAGTACTTACAGTTAAATACACGCGTGACAATCCACAATTATAATAAAAATAATCAACAGATCTTTCGTCGTCTTCTATTTTCATATGATTTTATGGCATCATTGCCTCTGGGCTTTTGGAAATAAATTTGGGATAAAGGTTTTATTTTTATTTTATTTTTTTATGTCTGTGGTGAATATCAGGGAAATTCCCCCTGCCTTAAAATAGAAAACTTGCCCAACTTTGTATTTATTTCCTCCTCATGTTGAAAGCTAGAGCGCCCTACACCTGCTTTGCTTTAAGAGAAGTTTCAGCTAGGCCCATTTCTTTTTCTCTGATTTGCATATAGCCTATATATATGTGTGTATTTTTTTTTTATTTGTTCTGGTAAATAATTACCTGTTGCAAAGTAAATGTTGTTCTGTTTCTGCGCTGTTTCCTACGTAGAAATCCATCGTCAAAATCAGTTGGGGCGTGGTTGCCAAATCCGCCTGAATTCACTGAAAAAAGAGAGAGAGGGAAATTGGAAACAATTCAATCACTTAAAAATAAATAAATAATAATAATAATACTGCTTTAATAAGGAGTTAATAACTTCATGATGTATTTAGGTAAGTTCAGTGATAAAAGTGATAAAAGAAAGGCTATAAAAATACAAATATTAGCCAAAGCAGGCACATTTTGTGTTTCCATTAGTTGCATGAAACATTGACGTTAGGTGTCTAAGGGGAACCATGGCGGACTAAAAGCCATGACACCCAACATCTGTGCCCGGGACAAAACGCCCCTTCTGCCCCGGGGCCAAACCACCAGCTCTTCTCACCAAAAGAGAGCAGAGAGAAAATCAGACTTAACCCTTTACATACATACATGAATTTGTGTGGGGAAATATACCGGCTGCTGTTTTGGACTTGTATAAATATTACCAGAGATGCAATAAGCAACCAACAATTTCAAGTTAAAATTTGAAAAGAGTGTTTTACATGCGATATTCAGATTCACAACCGAAACAGTTTGACTTACCTAGTTTTAGTTACATATTACCACGACATAAAAAATACATTTTATAAGTCGGTGTTGTTTTAATTAACAATTACTAACAACACATTGTGTTAAATGATTATATTATAATGATTTAGAGAAAGTAATGATAAATTCGGGCCCATTCTCAAGTCTCCGACAGCACACACACACTTTACGCGCAGAATCACCGCGCGCTGTCTAAACATCACAAAAGTTTACAGAGAACAACTTTAAGAGTAACGTTAGAAATAATCCGTAGCTGGAAAAAACAGCGAGACAGCGAACTTACGCGTGTTGGAGCGACAGCACTCTCCGTCCAGCTGAGGTGGACAGTGGAAGTAGAACATCTTTGCGCGCTTAAGAGACTCCGAAACGGAACCTGGAACAAAGACAAAAGTTTCAGCTTAAACCCACAGACCTAGAATAATGCAGATTTGTGACGGGAGCAACAAAAACACTCTTAAACCGTCAGCAGAAGATGCGGAACCGCGCGGGATTTGGCGAGATTCAAAGTTAATGTGTGAGAGCATCCTACCTGCGGTGAGGATGCTGATGTGAGTGAGTTAGCGCTTCGGAGAGAAGTGGCTGCTGCACTTCCACCGACTCTCTGCCTGGGAGTGTCCAGATCTCTCTGTCTCTCGCTCCCCCCACACTCTTTCTCTCGCTCCTGCAAACACACACACTCACACGCACCCCCACACACTACTCACTTCTCTCTCTCTGTCTGTCTCTCTATTTCTCTCTGGGAGTGTCCAGATGTCTCTATAACTGTATAACTGTCTACAGAGTGTTAAGGCTTTCAGCTAGTGTCGCAGAATCTCACGCCTAATTGGTCCTAATCGGATTATCACGGCTTTGTCTTTCTCACCCCCAACCCCTGGTGTGTGTGTGTGTGTGTGTGTGTGTGTGTGTGTGTGTGTGTGTGTGTGTGTGTGTGTGTGTGTGTGTGTGTGTGTGTCAGAGAAAGACAGAAAGGAGGAGAGGAAAGACATACCCGGGGTGGCAAACGGCAGCTCTGCTCTGGTGCCAAAAAAATTCATCACAAGTGATTGTTATTCCAGAGTCAAGCATATTCCCTAACCATAAACATGCACACATACCCACTGCACTTTTTATTTGGTTCTTTCATATATTAAAAAAAGCAGGATGACTGCTTTTGGGTTTTAGATTGACTGTCGGGTGGTTTAATTGCTCGTCAGGGTGTGTTAGGGGGTCCACTTTACAAGGGTTTGCGCATGTAGAACACTCACAAGGCCAAATTTTTGATTTTGTTCACAGCAAGGGGTCCAGCGATTTATTTCGCTTCCTCAGATAAATGATCTGCTGCGGGACCCTTTCAATTAGTTTTAAAGCGCATCTGGGACGGCAGAGCGCAGACGCCATGCGTCTCTGAGGTGGAGGCAAAATGAGGCTTCGAGAAGCAGCTGAAATTTAGAAGAGGAGTGCGGGATTGGACTAAACCACATAAAGTGCAGAAAATCCCTTCTAATGGCGCGTAATTGGTTCTGTAATATCATTACAGGCGGATAATGGCCAGTTACAGGGCCCCGCGCTATTAAGGGTTTCCCTGGCGTGCAGCGTTTATGTTATTAAAGGGGGAATATAATGATATTTTAGTTATTAAATGCGCGTAATTAATTTATGCACCACTGAAAATAAAGTTGTTATTATGACCTCGGTGAGGTGCGTGGAGAAAATTGAAATCAAATAACGGTTGATAACTTTATCCCAATATTTGGTCTAGACAACTCTTGACAAGAGTGCAGGCCTTAAGTGTGTGCGTGTGCTTCCTGTCAGCGCCTTTCCTCTCCATCCTCTGATGATTGCTTAAAAGACTAAATGCAATTACTCCTCATCTCCGTAGGTCGAGACACATTTACAAATAAACTTTAACTAGTTCAGGTTTTGCAGATTTTGCATAAGCCGTCGACTATTTCAGAACCCTGGTCAGCACCACAGTTAAATAAAAGGTATGTCAGCTTTTCCGTCCAATTTTGAGTTATCTTGTTATTTTAATGTCCTCACATTTACCTGTGTTCTTGATTCAAAACTGTCCCACATGTCTTTTGTAACCTGCAAATAGTTTGGCATATATTCATAATCATAAATCTTCCTTTACATCTGTGTATTTTTGAAATAACAAAGCCAGAAAAGCAGCCATCAGATTTATTGCATACAGTACATGCAAGATATGGAATTGCATTTATTTTTTTAATATAAAACACCGTTTTTAAAATGCCTGCAAACAACGGAGAGGCAATATTAATTTGTTTTGAAGTGACCAAAAACCCCTACAGTGTACAAGAAAGTTTATTATAAAATCTACAAAAACCTTTAGTGAGGTATAAAATGGCACCCTATTCTTAAACTTAACAGAAAGTTGGTATAATCTGACATCGCTGAGGTTTTTGAAGAACAAAGTTTGAGAGTAAACGCATATCTGAATATGATATTACACCGTTTTAGTCAAATCAAAATAAATGAATTCAAGTATTACCAGGTACAAGCAACAATGAAAAAAAGAACAGAACAACTGCCAAACTCAATCACAGAAACTACCTTCAAGACTTGCTTAACTAATTATGATTTCATTAGGTAACCCAAGACTGTACGGCAAAATGTCTTTCCTGAACGCAAGCAACAAGAAGGTTGCAAGACAACAACTGTAAGCTTGAGCTTGAAGGGGTGTTTAAATGTTCTTCCCTCAGCGAAAGCTCTCTTTGAGTCTCCAGATGCCCTCCTGACCAGAGGTCCTATGAAAGTCACAGATACTCCTGAGTAGTTCTCTGAAGACAGGAGCCTGTTCCTGGGTCAGTCTCGGTTTGAAATACTCGAGCACTTCCTGGGTGGTGGCTTGTCCGTCCACACTCGCCTGGAAGGCTACAAAGTTGCGCAGATCCACCAACAGCTCATCGTGCTCAGTGGGCGGAGCAGCAGGAAGACTCCCTGCAGCTCCCGAGGCATCCTCCTCCTCCTCTTCTGGTTCTTCTCCCCTGGAGGGCATGCTGAGGTGATTACGGGCCTTCATCCGGGCCAGCAGAGAGGAGGATGACAGCGGGGTGGAATTCAAGTCACTTTCTGCACCCTCCCCGCTAAAATGAGCTCCCGAACCTGGTTTCTTTGACACAGACTTCTTTATAATAGCAGCATCCTAAACAAAAGAAATCAATGAATACACCCAAAAATGGCATCAGAAATGAAAAAACACAGAGTAACATCTTTTAATGAGAACCTGGCCATTACCTTGCATTTGGTTGAAGTGGGAACAGACTGAACAGAAGGTGTAGCTAAGAGAGAATTCTTCTTTTGTCCAAAGCGTTTCCTGAGAAGGCAAACAAGAGAATGCCTTAAATACATTTGAGAAAATGATAAGTTTGTTTTAAATTAAATTAGTGAAGTTCTAAAAAAACAGAAAAAGAAAAAACCCCACCGTGTCAGTGTGAGACTACATACTTTGCAGGGGCAGGAGGAGTTTTGAAGCGCAGTCTGCACTGCTGCCGGGAAATTTTAAGAGCTTTAAGGGCATCTTGAGCCACCTTATTGGCTTCTGCTTCCACAAGAACATAGTCAGGATTGGAAGACTCTATGATGGTGTCATGCTGCATCACACTGTGAATACCTGAGAAACACCATGGAAGAAAAGAACAGCACATTTGAAAATAAGAAAAAGAAGCTTGCCGTTTCGCAAATCTTTTATATAAAAATTTCTGATACTGCAGACGGTACAAAACAAACAAACCAACCAAAAAAAACTTCTACCAGATTTCTTGAACAGCTTTGCCAAGACATAATCGTCTGATTTCTTCTGGTCCTCTGCTGCATTGTCTTCGCTCTCGGATTTCTTAAATGTTCTTTTCTTTACCAAATGAGAGATGCGGTGGCCTTCGAATCGAGCATCCCGGGAGCGCTTGTGTTTCTTATGTTTGCGTTTGTTCAAGTCGTCCGAGTCACAGTGTTTCCTCTTCTCCCTGTGTTTCTGTGGGCTGGTCCGGGCAGAGTTTTTGTCTCTGTGCTGGTGAAAACTGGCTGAGTTTGAGGTATTTGTGTCTGGTTTGGCTGCATCACAGTCGCTGTTTTTATTTTGTCCCGCAGGCGCTATATCTACAGCATCCTGGTTGGTGCTTGGACTGTCTATCGGGACATTTTGTTTACCCTGAGAGTTTTTACTGCATGGAGACGTACTTCCGGCCCTTAATGTAGGAGTGTGCGTGCTGTCTGTACCTGTATTAATGAAGGTTGCTGAGGAGTGTTTATGTGCATGGCTGCTGTGATTTACTTTGTGTGATGGCTTTGGCTTTTCGGGTTTTTTGGGCACTTTGATGTCAGAACCTGTGCCTGTTTTTAGGGAGAAATAAACCAAAGTAAATAAAATTAAATCCCTCAAGCTTATTTTAACAACCCAATAACTGGACAATGAAATGTTTCAACAGACCTGCAAAAATAGCACTTGTCTCTGTTCCCTGACCTCCATCTGGATCAGCTAGAGTAAACAGCTCATAGATGTCATTTGACTTGAAGAACCGTCGCTGTTTGGGATCCTTCAGTACTCGATTGGTTAGGAACTGTTTGAAGATTTGCCTGAATTACAGCAGATAAAATACAGAATTACATACTTGAATGCAAGCTGCCATTTCAGCTCAGCATGCAGTCCTGATCCCCTGTCACCACAGAGTAGTTTGGCTGATGGATGAGCACATTAGTTAACCTCACCACTGTAGGTATCAAAACACAATGCCTGCAGTTTTTCCAACTTGCTTTCTGAAAGCACTTTACAGACAAAAAAACAAACAGAGCAACAGTTTAGAAGTCCTCAATTGGCCATTTAATAATGCAGGAATGCTTTTCAATTACCTAGAACCGGGACAGTGCAAGTACTAATATAGCAGTGATGTAAGCAATTAGTCACGTCATTGCCAATACTCATGAATGTGTGAAATCAACAGAAAGAAAACTGAAACAAAAAGGCTCGGTGAGAGAAAACACAATGGCCAACAGAGGATTTTGTTTTTGCAATTGAATATTATCCTTATAAAGTGCTTAGAAAAGTAAACTGCTGTCTGACCTGTGGTAGATTTTCTCTTCAATGGTCCCAGCAGTCAGCAGTCTATAGATTGTTACTTGCTGCTTTTGACCGATCCTCCAAGCCCGTTCGCGAGCCTGCGAGCAGCGTAACACATTCAGAGCAAATGATTAAACCGAGCATTCAGTGAGAAAGGAGGAAAAGCGATGTTACAGAGCAGCAGGTGAACCAGGCAACAAGAAATTGGAAACGCATGAAAAGCTGGCATCCAACAAGAAAAAAAAAAGTAGGCAATTTAATGTGACAAATCACAACTCTAAGGAACATTAAGACTCACATGAGAAATAATTCACTGAGTCAATGTTTTTAATTATTTTACGTGTGGCTGTCTAACCTGCGTGTCAGTACTGGGGTTCCAGTCTGGGTCATAAATGATGACTCTATTGGCTCCAGTCAGATTGACTCCCAGACCTCCGACTTTAGTGGTCAACAAGAAGATAAAAATGGATTTGTCCTGAAAAAGAAAAGAAAAGAGAGAAGCAGAGAAAATACTGGTGATTAATGAACCCAATCTGCAATTTCATACTCTCTTTGATAATCACTTTCGGCTATAATCCTGTAAAAAAAAAAATTTCATTAGTAAATTGTTAAAATTTAATGCAAGTAAGATAACAATCTCCTGCTCTCAAATTATTCTCAAATTAAACCCTATTTAAAGACGATAAAACAGCTTTATCTAAATGCAGTGTATGTTGATCAGATTTAGTATTAGATACAACACATTTTTAAAAAGTTTTAGTTTTAAAGAGTGCTTTAATGCTAAGTGATATTTCAACATCTTCCACACACAGAAAATTGAGCACATCCACTTTGAACAACAGATTTTCATCAATTAGCGTCCCCACCTCGGGGTGAGAAGGATTCCACTGAAGCATTTGGTCCCTCAGGGCAGGATTTTCATTGGAAACACATACAGCCATTAGAGATGACTAATCCTTACCTCATTGTAGCGAGCGATGAGAGGCTGTCGGGAAGATATTGTAGTCGTGCCGTCCATTTTCAGGTACGAGTAGTTATTCTCCCTTACAAACACCTCCAAGATGTCCAGCATCTGGAAGGAGTGGGAGGATAAAGACAGCAGAAAGAGGAGATAAAGACGGGGAAAGAAGGGCTGAGGTTTGGATTATCTCTAAAAGGATTAGAGCAGATTAATATTACATGGACAGAGATACCGACAGGGAGGGTCTCAGGTTCCCTCTGAGGTATAATCTCATTGGTATTGACTGCAACAGCTGGGGCCTCCATCACATATACACACTCTCTCACTTCCTCACTTTTTCCTTCTGTCTCGCACGTTCACAGACACACTAAATTTAACAGGCTTATAGGTAGCTGGCAACACATGACACCACAATTTAAGATGTAAAGGAGGAAAGAATTATCTTGGCTTTACAAAAATCTTTTGTATTTATACAAACCACTGTTAATGCGTCTTTAATACTGGTGATTATTTCAGGAAAGTGTTCCTCACCTGTCTGGACTGAGTGAAGAGCAGGACTCTGTGGTCCTGTCTGAACCAGAGACGTAGCAGCGACTCCACAACAATCAGCTTGCCCGAGCGCTTCCAAAAGCCAAAGTGTTCCTCTTCAGTTAGCTGGTCCTCAGGGATTCCTCTCAGTATCCGGGGTCCGCCTGAGAAAAGGTCCGGGTGGTTACAGATCTTACGCAGAGCTATCAAACCTGAGAACACCTACATGAGACAAAAAGAAAAAGGAGATTCCTTCATGAACGCTGTCAGCAGAACTGATGTCAACTTTGATAAATTTACAGATTTTTACTGTGTTGCACCTTAAAAAAATCTACAGGAATGAGTTACATAATTTATTTAAAGACAATTTAGCCAGTTTTCCTGATGAAGGCCCAGTGGTCACTGCATTAGTAATGGTGGTTAATGGACTGAGAGTGACCACTGAATACGTCTGTAAGAGCACGCACGTGTGCGTATATGCATAATCTGTGGTCACCTCTAGCTCTCCAACCACGTCCATTTGGTCAGTGGTGATAAATGGTAGTTTCTCTCTCAAGGGTTTCACTACTGTGAGAAACACAACTGTACAACCTTCTCGAATTGAACCTCTTAAACAATACCAAAGTCAAGCTATTAGGGGTTTAACATAATTTACATGGCAAAAATAATTTCAATTCCACAGATTCCACTTAAAGGTGGGGATCTTTAATTGTACGAGAGTTGATAAAAATCCACACAATGTCTCTGTGAGAGGGAGGTAAACGGAAATGCCTCTGTTAGGTGGTTAAATAATGCATGTCTTGTTCCAGGAAGTCTTCTACTTTCTTATCCTCGTAAAGTGTGTGTCAACCAAACACAAAAGCAGAACACAAACTATGAAGGCTCACCTGCATGTCCCCATTTAGTATTTGGTAGACCTCTTTGGAATCTAAGAAGCTCTGATACACTTGACGCTGCTCTGCTGTCAATCTGCAAAACAGAACCTACACACAGACACAAACACACACAATAGAGGGCAGTGTAAGAGTTTATAATGAGCAGTGAACATCCACTTTAAAGCCCCTTGATGAAGTGAAGTGTTTGAGAAGAGAAATTAGAAGGAAGCAACGGCTTTTTTTGAAGCCACCGGTGTCCTGAGGGACTGACTTAATGAGCAGAAGTGGACTGAGAAGTCCACCAGCGTCAGCCGCAAGGACAGACCAGAGACCAGCCGCCTTAATGAATACCTGCTTCTTTTACTTTACTGGGACTTTATTAGCTGGTTTCACCTGACAGGGGCCATACACATTCATCAAATACTCCTTAGATGTGGCACATAATAGTCACATCCAATCAGATAAACATCTCCCCTGTTAAGAGATGCAGGCGTTAGACGCTGTTCAATACTTGGAGCAGGGTCAAGTGTCTTAGAGTATGATGAATACCTGTTCATTTTTGTCAGGTAAGGAGAGGTTAGCCTTGACGTCTGCCTTCATTCTTCTGAGCAGGTAAGGATTTATGGTGTCCCTCAGCACACATGCGCATTTAAATGCTGTCTGGACCTTAAAAAAATAAATAAAAATCATACCTTTAAGGATAAACAAACTGCTTTAAAACAAAAGGAACCTTCAGGTCAGCATGCAAAGCAAACACATACACACTCCTGTCAGCGCTCATGTTTCCTAAGGCATGGCTGTTGTTTGGCCACTCATCTGCTATCTCTCATCACCTCATGTTGCTGTCCCTCTAAGCGGTACAAGCCATTCAACATTGATCTGAGTGCTGCTGGTCTCGAGGGACACAGCCTTCTTTCATCAGTGCTGCTGGCCAGTTCCAGTGGAAACAGAGGGGGAGATTGAGACACACTTGGTCCACACTAGAAGCCCCACTGCAAATGGCCTGCTAAACTGTATGTAGGGTCAGTGCTAAAAGCCAGTTAGTCTTTTAAACATTAACTCACTGGGGATCCACGGGGGGGGGGATCAAAGACACCCTTGGCAAAGCTGGAGGGGACAATAACATGGTGGTATCTTGAGCTCAATGGGGTAAAGTGGAGAGGAAAGAAAAAACAAAAACGAGGAAGGCAGCAGATGATCCAGTGATCTCGGCGCAAGCTGTTGAGTGGATTCACATGGGGCTGCAAATGCATGCCTCAGTAATAGAGCCTATATGCACATGCTCATAAAGCCCCACCTCAAACACATATGTTTTTTTTAAAACATACATCTAGTTGAACATACATGAACTTTATGTATCATCTCAGGGCCTGTTTTGCTGCTCTGAGAATATCGAGAAGAAGATAAGGCAGCAGAGCTTTGCCCTCTCTGACCATTTAATAACATTAATAATTAGTAAAGGTTTTTATTATCGACAGCGGAAGAAGCATCAATAGCCATCTTAAATAATTAAATCTATTCAGTCAGTGAGTTATTAACGATTGGACACTAATGACAAAGGGCTACAATTTAGCTCCCCGCCTTTCTACTTTAGCCTCTCCCTCTCTCACACACTGGGGATGCACACAAGTTTTCTTGCATGGGCCTACATTATCGTGCACTGCACCTAATGGTTTCCATCAAGCTTTCCAAAACTGTGCATACATGAATAGAAGGTATTTTCAAATTAGCATAGCCCATTTATGCTCCACCCTTATGATACAGTTACAGAAATAGTAGAGTTGTTGGATTAACTGGCTCCTGTTTGGAATGATATTACCATTACAATAACATTATTCCACTTCAAAAGAGGGAAAGGACACACAACCAGAACTGAAATAAATTATTATTTCACAATTTTGTGTGTGTACCTGTACAGGAGATGCATTACTATATCCACCCATAGTAATTGGCACGGAGAACTGCTCCATAAAAACAGGCAATGTCCCCAGTTTGCCGGGGAACACAAAATCAAACAGAGACCACAGCTCCTTCAAATTGTTCTGCATTGGTGAGCCTGACAGGATGAATCTGTGAGGAGTGCGAAACTAGAGAAGAGAAAATTTAAAAAAATTATTAATTAATTACAACCGCATGAACTTTGCTTATGTTGATGCATGTGTCCATGAGTATATAATACCTGTTTGCAAGCAACAGTAACTCCAGCATTTGGATTCCTGATCTTATGACCCTCGTCCAATATAATGTAGTGCCAGTCGTAGAGCTGTAGGGTTTCCTGCATGTTCCTCACAGCTGAATATGAAGTGATAAGGATACCATGACATGCTGCTATTTCTGGAATGAGCTTTTCCTGCAACATGGGGGAAAAAAGCAAAGACACAAACCTTAATATGTAAACCTTAATATAAACCAGTGCAGTTATTAACCATGTCTAGTATCATATACTTCAAAGAATGTACCAAGTAGGGCATCATTATCAATGTGGCTTTAAAAAGAGGGAAAGAGTGGGAGGTAAGGTCAGGAGCTAATACTGTAAACAGAACTCTAGTGCCCCCCAGAGGGAAAAAAAAGATTGTATAAAACTCATGAACAGCTACCTTGTTGCTAGTGAAGGACCCAGTTTCATGTAGGACTGCCACTCGGAAAAGAGGCCACCAGGTATGAAACTCCTTCACCCACTGGTGCATGACTGTAGCTGGGCACACAATGACTGTTGGACCCAGACCAGCATACCTACAGCGAAACAAACACCACAGACACGTGTTTAATCGAAAACCAGAGATTAAGATGGGTAAACAATGGAACTGTGTTCATTAAACTTTGGATAACCTGAGCAGGCTTCAGTAGCAAATCACAGCCATCATTTTTACAGTGTAAAATAAAAGGTCTTTTCCCTATTAAGTAAAATAATGTATATATGCTTAGATTGCAATGACAATATATGATGCATTCAAGGATGAGGAACAACGCACAGCGGAATGATGCAACTACAAAGCCTTGTACTTACAATAAATCAAAGAAAGTGTGTGGAGATATCCTCAGCTCAACTGTGAAAATCTACAAGAACTTTGCCAAACACACACACAGGCACGCACAAAAGATACACTAATGGGCTGGTATGAACCTCTGCCTAGTGGAAGCTATTGATATTGGACCATAATTGAGTTTGCAAGCAATCAATTTGTGGGCGTCTATAGTAGACAGAGTATTGACCATTAGGGAAGCTCCACCCAATAAATGTACGAGTGTTGTTCGAGGAAGTAAAACCAGATTATCAGCAGCGCTCCGTCATGTTTTTGGCGGTTGATTTGTTGTCACCCACCTGCTCTACCCCCACCTCATGAGCCTGAAATTCATTTTAAGGGTTCACGCAGACACTCACTCTAACGCATTCTCACTTTCAACCCCCCCCCCCCACACACACACACACAGAGTGTCAGTGTTTTCTCTGATGTCCGCAGTAAAAATAAATAAAAAAAGTGAAGAGTCTGATAATTGAAACATGTTTAATAATTCAGATGAACACTCTCAAGTAGAAATCCCCCTAATCAAATATTCATACCATACAGACACACAGTCTCTGGACACAGTTTGTGTGTACGCATGTGTGTGTGCGCACACCTGTAGTTGGACCCTCTGGTTCTCAGTTTGCTGTAGCTCAGTCCAGCCAGAAAGCTGATGACCTGGATGGTTTTACCCAATCCCATCTCATCCCCCAAGATGCCCCCTGCCTGCTGACAGTGGAGTTCCCACATCCACCGCACACCCGTCTGCTGGTACCTGAAAAGGTCATTGACATGAATGCAAACACTTGAAACACATGGCTGTAACAGCAACCATGGACAATCCACATAAACACACATAAAGGGTTGCCAGTAATCTCATAGATCAGTGAACAAATAAATTTGCAAGGCTTGCTGATGAAATAATCATTATTTTTTCAGAGCAGTGACTGTGATGCAGAACAAAGTACACATATAATCTTTATGCGAAAAATGTTTTATTAGTCCTTGTTATCACTTGATAAAAGTGGCTCTATCTACATGCATGGATATTTAACATAACTCATTCCCATAATCAATGTTTCGGACTGAACTTACTTGTAAAGCTTTTTCCAGAGGAAACCAGGAACTTTGAAGCCTTCGTCAAATTCTGCATCGCTGTCATCGGTTAGCTCCTCACCCCTTTCTCTCTTCTCCTCCCTTTCTCGAAGACGCTGACGCTTCCATCTCCTGTTGAGAAAATTAATATACACTGATGAAGTGTTTGCACACCGATGTGATAAAATGAATTTCTTTATTTTAGTTAGAAGCTCACAACCGCAAGGGGTAAGCTCAGTGAGCCTGGGTGCTGAGAACAAACACCTGCTTCCTCTTTTAAAAAGATGAATACACTACCTGAACAACAGTGAAGAATTCAACCTGTTTAAACTTTCAGTGATGTATATTGCTACAGATGCAAAATGAAAACAACTAAGAGATCCAAACTAAATCAGACATTTCAAGTGAATATAGTGCAAACCTAAACAGGATAAGTGGAGACTGGATAGAAAGGTGTTCTATTTGCACCTCTCGCACTCCATGCGTTATTTGAGCATTTGTCTACACAGGTGTAAGGATAGCGAATGTTTTGAGTTGAAGGTATTTCCCTTGAGCGGTGAAACATCTACAGCAAAAAGGGAAATGTTAAAGGAAAACAGTTTTAATAGTGCAGGAGAGAGGGCAGTTAGAGGCATAGTCGTCGCACAGCAAATGAAGATTGATACAGACAATTAGTAGTGCGAGTTCCCCAGAAAGGTGTGAGGTACAGAGGATAAGAATCCATCTTCATTTGGGCCTGGTCCTGTCACCCTGCCACGAAACTGGTCCTTAAGCTAGGCCTGGGAGACCACACTCTCTAATTAAGTCAAGACTAAGCATTGGTTCAGTTAATTACACTTTTCTGCCCCCACTCCACCTCCCACCCAACTACAAATACCGCCCGCTCTAATAATATCATTCCACGTATAAGCTAGTCTCACCGTCCATGCCGTGTCTATGCTGTGGAATTGACATTCAGTCACTATAGTGTAGAAAAAGGACACATGCCAACACAATTTATTTGGCAGCTATAAATATGAAATCTCATTAGGGCTGCTCTTCCATTAATTTGAGCATTAGAGTGAGTGAGTGTATAAAACCATGTGCAGGAGGATAATTAGGCCAGTGTGAGAGCAGAGAGAGAAGAAGAGCAGGGAGTGAATTTGCTTAGTCAAGAAACAGCTGCCAATCTCATCTGGGATTAACTCTCTTTCTGCACTATGGAGCCAGCAGAAAAAGAGACAACTGCTTCCTCCTTAAGTAAAAGGAATAACAATAGCACACAGCACTGCCATTACAAATGTGATGTAAAGTAAAAGGAACAATCTGGTGGGTTTTTGAGCAAGGCATATGCAGGCATAAGTTGCTGCTTTCGTTTTGTAAAAACTCTGCACACCTTTGCACCCAACCACAGATCTAAACATGAGTTTAGAGCAATGTTAGTAGTGCATGATCGTACCTTATTCGCTGCCTATAATACTCCAGATCTCCATCATCTTTGTATTTTTTCGGTTTTCCCTTGTCATCATCCTCTTCATCTGTACTTTCAGGGTGGTATTCTTCCTCACTGTCACTTTTCTTTACTTTTTTCCTCCCTTTCCCTTCGGTTTTTCTCTTGTATGGTTTCAACTCATACTCTTCATCATCATCTCCAAAGCCCTCCTCCATGGCTTCTCTCTCCTCTTGGTCAGGATCTATTCCTTCATCACTGGGGAGGTACTCTGACCCCTCACTGTCTGTCTCCTCTCCTTCAGTGTGACGTTTTCTCCGTTGCTTTTGGAGCTGTGGCTCAGCCTTGGGCCGGGCCTTAGGATGGGCCTTTAAAGCAGTTACCTGGAGCTTTCGCATACGCTTACGCAGTTTTTTATCCTTGGAAGATGAAACAGTTCTTTTGGTTTTCTCTCTTGAATCTCCACCGGTTCCAACCCCAGAGCTTTTCTTCTTCTTAAGGAGAGGGACTCTCTTCCTCTCAGTAGCCAACTTGGCCTGGTCTGCCAGGTACTGGTCAAAAGCAGAGTTCTCCGCAAGCATCAGTTTTCGTGGCTCCTTCTTTACCTCCTTCTGTTGGATTCGGGTTCCAAAAGGAGTCATGTGACCTTTTCGGATAAGCTCTTCCCATTCGGTCTCCTGAGATGGCATAAGCATACTGCCCAACGTGGATGGTCCCGCTTCTGGTACAACACACACAAATACAGATTCAGAGATTTTCTTCACTGCCAGAATCAACACGAATGCCTACAGGAAAACTCTTAAGGATTCAGAAGGGTCTATTTATGTAGGAAATACTTCGGCTAGTGTGCAGGAAGTATGTGACTGCAGGTTAAATATGCACCGAATAACTCACGGAGCAGTCATGGAATATACTGAGAGCATAACCTTTATTACAACTGAGGACAAGTGTAGTTATGGGTTCTTTTTCACAGTACATGAAAATATTTCTTGCTAGCTTGAATTTTAGGTGTGAAATACATATTATGTGTATTGTTATGTGTGAAAACAGACTTGTGTAGCAACAAACAATACAAGAGGAGAGTTGTCACACCTATTTAAGCCTGTGTCGGAAGTGAAATCTGCTGAAGGCAGAAAGCAAATGGACACCCTGCTATTCTAATTAATGCACAGTAAATTTCCTTCATCAACCTAATATGGACCATAATCAGTGAATGCTACAAGTTAGGCATCTTGGCTGCCACAAAAATTGCTTCCACCCACTGATCAGTGGTTAATGTTTCCAGTCAGTACACAAAAACACGTTACCTTCCTCTCCATCATCTTCTGCCAAAAACTCAAATTCCACCCTTTGAGTGTCCTCTCCTCCCAGAATGGCTTGAAGTCGCTTCTGTTTGGCTCTGACTTTCTTCAGCTGTTTCTCCTGTATGACAAGTTTTTTCATCACCACAATCACACCATTATTATTATTATGTTATTACACCATCATCATATAAACCAGATTACTTTATTTTAAAACGTTACACATGTAGTATTTTACCTTATTTTCTTTCTGTCTTTTGACAGACTCAATCTTCCTACTGATGTCTTTACTGGAGGCTGCGTAAGGAGAAAGCTGCTCAATAATCTTGTTGATATGTTTTAAAGATGCTGTAACAGACCTGCAACACACATGATTAAAAGCAGAAGACTTATTAGTCCCTTGACGTTTTGCTACTTGTTAATAAAAAATTTTTTTAGTTTATAGCATCTCAACAAAGTAAGATGATTACTTCAACACAACACACACAAACCATTTGTGTTTTTGTTTTGTTTTTTTAAATTCCTGTACCTGACATCATCCAACACAGACTGATACTCCTTCTCGGCTTCAGCTTTAACAGCAGCCTGACTGGCCTCCTGGATCGCCTCGTCCACTTGCTGCAAAACACCTTGTTCAAGTATGTGCTGGTCATACACAGCCACACCAAGACCTTGGAGCTCATCAGCTCCCGAACTGGCAGAAGCTGCTTGGATGCGCTGTCGGTCAATCTGCAGCAATGCTCCAGACCTTTTCCCAGCTAAATGCACCAAAGATAACACATGAAATGATTTTATAAGGATATAATGACATTCTCCATCTCCTCTCTCAACATGCTGCACAGCTCACCGCTGTTGCCCTCCCCAGGTCCAGTGTTGGCAGGATAGGCTGCAGCAGCCTCCGGGGCCTGACTGTTTTCAGGGAAAGTACAGACTGCTGAGCCGCCTGTAGCTCCATCCTCCTCCGTTCCTCCCGGGGTGAGGGCAGCACTAGCCGGGCTAGAAAGAGAGGAGGGCACCTGGTCCTCTGTACCGTCTACAGGCATAGTGAAGCAGCTGCCAGAAGTGTCAAACAGATGTCAAACAAGTCATTTAAGCCATTGTCTCGTCTAAGCTGTTAAAGAACTGCTTTAAATAGAGAAATAAAACTAAACCGTTATTGCTTGTCGCCTTTTTATTGCGTCCAAAAAGGCTGCGTTAACTCTGAACGGTATTATGTAATGATCGGAATCTAAACCAAGCTTATATCTATGGTTAATAACGATTAACGGAAGGGTCTTAAACTAATTATGTGAATGTGGAGGCTCGTAATGGGAAGAAATGAATGTAAATAATACCAATTTAAATTAAAGAAGGTACCACATTAGCGGTTAGACGCTGAGTTATAGGATAGGCATAAAACTGAAAGAAACGTTAAAGTCTCTCACAACCTATTGTTTACGTGGCTACGCTAACCTGCTAAGCTAACAGTGAGCCGAACATCATCAGCTGTTCAGCTTCAACAAACAGAGGACGTTCAAAGGACCAAACATGTTCAGATATGTTCCTACTACAGCACCCACTGTTTCTCGCTGTTTGAGTAAAATCTGGTCCATTAAGCCCAGCGTCAAAGCGACAGTGACAATGAGATACTCACAAAACGTGCAGTTATACAACATCACTGGCTCGCTTTATGTCATATTGCTCACCAGCCGCTTCCTGGTTTCCGGTGTTAGTGAAGGCATCCGTTCAATGATTAACTTGCTGAACAGCGCCCTCTGCTGGTTGGCAGCAGCAGAGAACATTGCACTCTAGATGGCGCCACAAAACCACTTATTTTTGCCTTATCATTGGCGAAACTGTGAACCACATTTTCAAAAACAACTCTTTGCGTTTTTAGGGAACTACTTAGACACTTCAGTCATTATTAATATGCAAGAATGTGACAAATTAAAGGAAAATGCCGAGAAGATTGAAGATCTGGTGGGTCTGCTACCTGCTTTGCAGGCATTTTTTGTTTTGTCTCCTTAGAGGGAAGGATCACTGCAGATCAGCACAGAAATTATGATCTTTATCTTGTGATAAAATTCTTTTTTGCACTAATGGCAGAGGATGACAATGATCCCATTTACAGGCACAAAGGATCACAGAGTGATGAGAACGTCATAAAATAACATGAATCATACACTATGACAGTCATCAGACCTTGGCTTAACCGAACAATGATTGTTGATTTTGGATAAACATGTTAGGCAGAACTCTTTATCACTAAAATTAAAACACCAAATTAGGGCATTTTCTTTGGAGAGTAGATTTCTTGGGATTTGTAGAGTCACACAGAAACTTTTCTGGTGGCACGTGGGGCTCCCACATGTTACTAAGACACTATATATTATGTTTTTCCTCTAATTTGCCAAGTGTCTGTGATTTTTTTCTGAGTCTTGGAAAGCCTACGCTTCATGGATGAGGAGCTCCAAGTATTTACCTCTGAGAGGAAGTTTATTTCCACTTTCATGCAAAAATAAATGAAGGGCTTAATTAAAATTTCCTCTCCGTCTTGCACTTTAGCGCATGAGCAGTAGTCAGTAATCTTTCCAAACAGTGTTATCTGTGTAAGCAAACATAGCTATATATAAGGATGAATATTGCTGTCACCTTTGGCTTGTGAATGTAGGAAAATGGAGACATTTTCCTGTTTTATTTGCTTAACCAGTAAATGTGGGTCACCTTCAGGGGAACCTCTCCAGAGATTAAGATTTGAACTAAAAGAAAAGTGTGCTGCAGCAAAACCTTGTAGTTTAGTTAGTAGAAGACCTGCAGAGTGTAGAGCTGTGATCAGGTAGCTCACAGCCACAGTGTTTTCCTTGTTTTTTTCTTTTCTCTCAGGGTAGTGTATATAAGGGACCCGCATACAGGAGTCAAGAAGGGTTAAATAAACTATCGAGCTGCTTAAAAATCATCATAGGTAGCAAATAAACTGATGCATTCACACGATGAGCTGCAGAGAGGAATGCAAACCTCTATCTTCCCCTTCCATCGCTCACGTATTTCACCAGTACTTGCCAGCCTTTATCAAGAGAAGGAGGAGATAATATTTAGTACACAGCTGTGCTTTTATGTGCTTTATAATGTAGGGAAAGTTCAACTGGTTAAGTTTAACTGATAGACCATGTCAAGCTCACAGGTAGCAAAAGTGTTTATTTTAAATGGATGTAGTTGTGATAACTCCCACTTCTTTGTATGGACAGAGTAGATTGTAGATTTATAAGGCGTATGAGGGTTGGGTGCAAATCTCCCAGGGTGCCGCGGAGTACTGTTAACACTGCTGCTCTGAGCTACTTTGCATCCTGACAGTAGAATAACACAGGGGGCAAGATTTACAGGCAGTGTTATAGGTTTGAATTTATATGTGTGAAAATCGGGGTGGTCCTTGCTTTTTATGGATTTTGTGTCAAAATACTGTAAATGTTGATACATGCTCCAGTATGAAGTTGTGTTTCATCTGCTGTCGCTGGAACACAGTCCTCCTCGCTTTCAGTAACGGTAACTTTTATTATCTCTCTGGGACCAGACGAATTTCTTGAGAATGAAATCACTTTACAAGAATTTGGTGAGGCAGCTAGGGAGACAATCAAGGGAGCTCCTTGTGGTCATTATCTTTGTTTATACAGTATTCTTCTCATGAATCCAACAGTTCTCATAGGTGTGCAGAAGATGTTTTTCTCCTAATTTAATTTATAGGTTGTATTCTGAAACACTGGATCACAATAAACAGAAGGATGCACGTCCAAAACGTACTTCCAACTGATGGCAAAGATTTATCTTGATCTTAATCTATGTTGATATTGTGAGGTGGCTGTGGCTCAGGAGGTAGAAGAGGAATAACCCGCTAATCTGAAGATTGGTGGTTTGAACCCTAGTTGCTCCAGTCTATTTGCCAAAGTATCCTTGGATACCAAGATAATGAACCCAGAGTTCTTTCCAATGTGTTCATCAGAGTGTGAAAACCAGATAGAAAACAGTCCGATGTGGAAAAAAGTGCTAGTATGAATGGATGAATGGCACATATTGTACAAAGCGCTGTAAGTGCTTGAGTAGAGTAGCGCTTGAATACAGTCTCTATAAGAACTGGTCCATTAGCTGTGTTGATGAACCGGATCCTTTCTTTAGCCTCGTACGAAAGATTTTAATTTTTAAGACTTTCTTTTGCCGTGTGGACCTGTTTAGACATCTTGTGAGGACAAAAGTACCTGTCCTCATGAGTTTGAAGGCAATTTTCAGACTCAAAATTTTTAGTGTCAGGGTTACAATTAGGTTATGGTTAGGTTTAGGCTAAGAGTTAGAGTTAGGTATTCATTTTTGATGGTTATCGTAAGCAGCTAGGGATAGTGTTATGTCAATTAGACACCCTCACTAAGATATCAAAACGAGAAAGTCTCTCTCTCTCTCTCTCTCTCTCTCTCTCTGTGTGTGTGTGTGTGTGTGTGTTTAAAAACACACACAGATAAAAAAGCAAAACTGAAATATGATAATTTCATGTGGTCCTTTCCCCCCACAAAACCTAATGTATAATTTCATTCTTCTCTGAATGGTCATGATGGTGGAGATAGGTTTCTCAGAGTAATTCCATGGCTCTGGGACATTTTGTTTCCCTCCCACTTCATTCTTCAAGTGAATATACTGGAGATCTGTTATAGTTACAGACCCTAGTTTCTTCTCAATACACACATTTACACAAGGAGAACAAATGAATGAATGAATGATTTATGAAAATCTGATTTACAAAATATATGACAACTAAATGCATTGACACATTCTTTTATTTGATAGTTGCATTTGATAGTGTTTTAATTCAAAACATTTGCCTCTTTCACCTTCTTAAATATGTGATCATATGTGTATCTGTTCATCCTGTTTTGACATTTTATGCTCTAAAACATTAACTGATTGAGGAAGGAAATAATTGGCAGAGTAAATGACGGTGAAAATAATGAGTTGTAGTCCAAGAATAAATGTTTTCTTACATATATACAGTTCAATTTCCGTGTCTCAGTTGACACCTAATACATTTGTGGGTATATAAACATACACATGTAGGCCACAGGGATAGAGTTACCCTATGTCACACTTCCATTTGTCACAGTGCACACATGTAAGCATATAAATACATGACTTCAGAGGACATTACATTGAGTTACATTCATTTCCTGCAGATTCATTATAACCGTAACTACTATTTGACTAACCTTAACCTAAAATTGAACCTTAAATCATGTCTACACCTTACAGTTCAATCATTTATGTAATGATGGCTTATTTTTTGTCACTATGAGAAAGACACATCCTCATGATATGACTTCATAAACAGATTCTGGTTCCTAAAAGAAAGAAAGAAATACCTGCCTCACATATAAAATATTAGTTGTCATAGATACCTATAAATACCTATAACTAAAAAATGTGTGTGTGTTGTGTGTCTTTGTGAAATTTATTAACACAATGAGCTATTGTGATCCATTGTTTGGTCCATTTTTTAAAGATTTTTTTTATTTATTTATTTATTTTTAAATTCTGGGAAGTCTACTTGACTTTGAGTCAACAACCGCCACAGCCTTCACTTCTATTTGTATTGTGAAATTCTTGTCCCTGAAAAATCCCCCTATAATTTTGATAAAGCAAAATAAAAGCAAAACTGAAACTAACAAACTCACTGTGGAATTAAAACTGAACTTAAAAAGGACATTTCACCTACATGTTTTCTCTGTTATTACAACATTAACTAAGTGCACTAACCTTTGGATTAAACCCAACGGTAACCCTAAAAGAAACTCTTAAACAGCTCTTAAATGGTGCAAGAATGGTGCAGGAAACCGTAAGTATGCACCAAACGAGCTCACTTGTCCTGAAGCCAATAGTAAAAATGCACTGCAGCCCTGAACGCTTCTATTCATCACCCCACACCGGGCATATGAGAACGCAAACATCTGACGAGGTTGGATTAGACATTAAATGGTCTTTAGCCTTACAGCTCCCTGGAGCAAAGTTAGTGTGATGTCTGGTTGTCACGATTTGCATCGATGTGAGAACACTGCAGGTTGTCTTCTGGGGTATGTTCAGCCAGTGAGTGGTCATCACATGGTCTGCCTCCTGCACATCCCACCCAGGCAGACAAACTCTCCAAAACCAGCACCCAAGTTAATGTGTAAAGACGGCTAAAGATAACTAAAAAAGCACACACACACATAATAAATTCCTCTAATTTCAGCTGCTGATGTGTGCGGCATTAAGTTGAACCCCTGCTTCGTGCTTCTTTGTTGAGTGCCTGCTTCATGGCCCAACTGAGCAGACATACGGCCTATGATGTTCTCTTAAGCCTCAAAGTGGTAAATAAATCAACATGAGTAAAGCATCGTCATGTCTATATTAATGTATATTCCAGCCACAGCATGCTTTACACATGTGTGTCAGTGTTGGCAGTGCTAATGTCTCCCATGTGCTCTCCTGTCCCAGCTAATACATGTCTGTTTGTGTGTCTGACAATAATTACAGGGGTGGGCTAGGCTCTCATCCGGGTGCATCAGACCACTGCCATGCTGCTGTAAATGTCTAATTCATCTGGATGTGATTCCACTCAGCAGCAGGTGTGCAT